AGGAACTGCAGATGCTGGAGAATCTGAGATAACAAGGTGGAGAGCTGGATGAACACAGCAGACCAAGCAGCATCAGAGGAGCAGGAAGGCTGATGTTTCGGGCCTAGACCCTTCAGAAGAAGGTCAGCCTTCCTGCTCCTCTGATGCTGCTTGGCCTGCTGTGTTCATCCAGCTCTACACCTTGTTACCTCAGACGATGTTATTACGTGCTTTGTTGAGTTGAGGCTAACTCATTTCATGTACGTATTATTTCTGTCTGCAAAGAACAGGACCCTGTGTATTAATGTGTGTAGTTTTCAGTAACTAAATGTGCCATATTGCATGCAGAGTCTCATATTGATTGTCTCAATAATTCTTCATGCAACATTAGCTAAATAATCTTTTCTAGTCTAGATTGTCCTGGTGTAGTATTGCAGTGCAAATGTCCATGGCTTCCATGAGTGATACATTGGTGAATAGACTAGCAATGTCAAATGAGTGCATGGACACTGCACTGCTGTTTGATATGCACGTCCTGCATGGTTTGTGCAGAAGTGAAGAATTTTATTGTTGTGTATGTTGAAACCTTGCTCAAAACTGGTTTTAGCAATAACTTCACCATTTCTCCAGTTCATATTTTGCAGAACCAGTCATAGATAAGCATAAAGGGGTGTCATTTTTGTGTGTCTTGGGTAGCCCGTACATATGTGGATGCATATAAACCGTGAAAACAAATCCTATTACATGCATCACTTGCCCACTCAGTGCCCAGATAGTGATGTTTCTTGCTTTCTTTTCTGTTTCAAATTAAGCTGTCTGATTATGCTGAGTGGCTGTTCTGATGGAAACAAACATGGATCAATCGTTTTAGGAATAGCATACATTTTGGCCATATATTTGCTATTGTATTGATCAGTCTTCATTGAACATATAAACTGCGCAAGTTGTGCAATTGAGCTCATTTTGAATGACACCATATTTGCCCAAATAGATGGTATTTCCATAGAATTCCTGCCAGGCCCAGTGCACTCCAACATCTTTTGTTGGGTTCCATTATGGAATGACATTAAACCTCCCAGCCTTGCATGTTTCTATGTCTTCACCATCCTGTGGGATAATGGCCACGTTGGTCTGGTCGTTTCCCTCTGTACATCATGAAAATTCATGAATGAGCTTTAGTTGTCACTTTTTGATCCTAAAATGAAAAGTGCAATGTTTACCTCCCATTTACCCTGGAGCGTAAGATACCCTAAAGTTTGAGTAACAGGTTAAGCTAATTGTTTCAAGCTCCTTCTATATACGAGTAACAAGGGTGGTGTCTGCCACTTACAGGATGCTGCTGTCTGGCCATAAAGATATTTGCGTGATAGGCAGAACAAGTAATGGTGGTTCATGAGTTTTAGTACCAGTGTGATGTCCGGTATGTAGGCTGTATGTCTCAAGCACTAGATGATCTTGCAGCATTTCCCTTCAGCTGTATGCAACAAGCAGACTTAGATGAAATTTTACCCAACAAGTCTGGACTTACAAAATTCACAACAATGCGCAATGTACGAAGGGATTCCAAAATTGGACAACATTTGCTGGATAATCCTGAGTGTGATAATTTTTATTGAAAATCAATTCATTCGGCTTGTAGTGTGGCACCCTTGAGTACCGGAAGTTACGCACGAATATGCAGGGCTCTTTATTGCAGACAGAAGGAACGCAAATGTACACGGTGCTTGTTTTGACTCAAAATAGGTGACCCATTCTCTGTTTCATTGGTCCAGGCATTGTCCTGTGAAATCAAGTCTGCTTGCCAATCAGTCAGCATTCTGCCATCATGCTGTTTTCATTTTTCACTGGTATTTCTTTCAAGTTGTCCTGGTAATTGCAAGATGAAAAGCTTTTCTTTTCTAGCTGTAGATCACGTATTGATTTGAGGGGATTGTTAGCCATAATCTTAAAAGCAATAGCAAGTTGACCTATCTTATACGGGACGTTAGCACTTGTTCGATTGATGGCATTCTTACCTCTGAAACGGAAGGCTTTGAGGTTATGTCCTAGTTTGGAGGGTTGAGGAAGCAAATGAGACTGACACTCCAGTGCAAAAGTGAGGCAGTGTATGGTATTTATTAGTGGTAGCATTTTTCAAATTACATATTTAAATAGAGGTCTCGTCTGTGCTCCAAGGTTGGAATAAAATGTACTACTGCACTAATTTTAAAGAAAAACAGTGGCGATACCCCAGTGCTGTGATCAATATTTATTCCTCAAACAACCATTTGCATTAATGTCTTTTTTTTTTATTAAACCATAGTAGGACAGCCCAAAATACTTCACAGAAGCATTACCAAAAAGAAAAAACACTAAGCCACAAAGGGATATTGGGACAGGTGACTAGAAGTTTAGTGAAAAAAGCAGATTTTACAGAGTGTCTTAACAAAAGAACAGGAGAGATTTTGAGGGAAGTGTCCAGGTTACTGAACACAGAGCTGTCAATCATTGGCCAATAGAAATCAGGGTAACTAAGGCCAGAATAGGACAAGTACAGAGATTTCAGAAGGTTGTTGTGTTGGAGTTAAGTTACACAGTTGGACGAGGGAGGACCTGGAGGAATTTCAGTACTGCTGAGAATTTTACGATTGAGCTGTTGGCTCCCATTTTGGCAATGATTTATAAGGCAAATTATCAGCATTGCTGTTTGTAGGACCTGTGTGAAAATTGGCTGCCTCACCGATTGGAATTAAAAACATGCTTACCTAAGTGTGGTGCCTGGGGCTATCCTGAGGTCATGAAAGGCACTATATAAATGCAGATTATATATCCAGCTCGTCTTGTCGATTGCCATTACGTATGGTAACTAACCAATCCTTTTGACTTGTGCAGCTGGTGCGGAGTCATGCCTTTAGAAACCAAACATCGAATTTTGTTGCTTTATGCCTCACAAAACGGACAAGCGAAAGCGATTGCTGAGGAAATTGCTGAAGCAGCAGATGGAAAAGGATTTATTGCTGACCTATATTGTGTGAGCCAAATGGAAGAGGTAACTGAGGGAAAATGATACTTTTTTTTTTATAGCTGACGACGCATGTGATGAAAAGAGTCGACTGAATTCCGTTTAGGTGTCAATTTTAATAAGCCTTATAGACAGCCTTGCTCAGTGAAGCCCAGCATGTTTTCTCTCTCAGTTCTGTGCAGCTTGCCTCATTGGCTTTGCACCACACTTCTACGAAGTCCTGCTCACTCTATCTTTCCTCTTGTCAGTAGAGGAAGTACTTTCCATTTGTGCGACCTCCTGGGAATCCCAGCCCCATTTTTGCAAATGCATTTGTGCACTGGGTTGAGTGCTGTCTGTGTGGACCTACCAAGCTCTGATTCTCTGACCTGAAGTCCCTCTGTACGGCTATCTGATATGTATGTAAATGTATTAAATTTACACCATGTTTTAAACAGAACTCATGGTCATTCATTATTGCTACAATGCTTTCACATGGCCATGAAAGAGTGTTTTGTTTCAGAATCACAGAACCACAAAAATAGGGACAGGAAGAGGCCATTTGCCCTTGAGGGTGTTCTGTCATTCAGCATGATTGCTGCTGATCATCCAACTTAGTACCCTGTTCCCACTTTCTCAACATACCCTTGATGTGGTTTTTTTGGGGTTAAGGGATCAAACTCCTTCTTGAAAACGGTCAGTTTTTTTTTTACCTCAATTGCTTTCTGTGGCAAAGAATTCCACAGGCTCACCACTCTCTGGGTGAAGAAATTTCTCCTTGTCTCAGTTCTAAATTTGCTGCCCAGTGTCCTTAGAGTGTGACCCCTGGTTCTGGACTCTGTGGTCATTGGAAACATCCTTTGGGTATCTGGTACCTGTCACGTGGGGGCCATTGGGTAACAGGTTTCACTGAGTTCACTTGCTTCATTGCTGAATCTTATTGAAAAGCTGAGGTTGTTAATATTTGAAGATGTTCATTTTCTCGATTTATTTCTTCAGTTCAACCTGGAGAAGGAACGTGCTCCAGTTGTTATAATCGCCTCTACTACTGGTGTTGGAGAAGTACCAGACACAGCAAGGAAATTTGCACAAAAGCTTAAGAGTGATTTGCCAGCTAACTTCTATTCACACATAAAATATGCAGTATTAGGTAATAAACCATCATCTGGATTTTACAGATAATGTTAGCCAACAATTTATTGTTTTCTGACATTGATTTATTCTCCCTAGCTCTTGGAGATTCCAACTACTGTTGTTTTGCCAATGGTGGAAAGATAATTGATAAATGCCTTCAGCAGCTTGGTGCACAACATTTCTATGCAACTGGATATGCAGATGATGGTGTTGGGTAAGGCCAGTGATGAGATCTTCTTCTAACTGATTTTTATCTGTCCTGTGTATTTAAAGATATTATTTCAGTGTTACTGCATCGTATGTAGAATTTTGGAGAAAATAATTAATGAATGAACAGAAGCCATTGAAAACAATGTAAAGTAAATTATTCCTTTTCTGAGCTTCTGAAAGGTATTATTTTAAGATCCTCATTTGCTTTCATTAGTAAGGCTTGGCAGTGTAGGTTTTTCAGGAAGTTGTTATTGGTTTGATCTTTCTTTTAAGTTGCTGTGAAGGTTTTCCCTAAAGTAGCAGAATCGGGGGAAATCGTTTCAGAACAGATCTTGTCCGGCTACTTACTACCGACTACTTACAGTGGAGCAGGCCTAGAGGCAGTTCGCTTAGCAGTGCAAAACATGTGAATTGTGAGAAATAAAGGATAAAGAAGCATTAAGGTTTGGATTGGATGAAGTTAGTTTTGGAATTTTATAGAACTGCTATTTCGCCTTCATGATTAGAGTAGAAAATGCCACCAGTGATCCAGACAGTTCCTTTTCTTGCAGCTGGCCTTTTGCGTAGGTCAGTACAAAGTAGAATCACAGATTTGTTGCTATATGTGCAACGTCCACAATAGATGGACTGTTATCTCTGAGATTTACTTCTCTTTAGGATTGAGCCTGGTGGTGATGGTTAGCTTTCCTCTTCAGTTGAATACAGGAGGCTCCTACTTTAAAGCTGTCTAAACAACATTTCTCTTTTCTTTTCTCTCTCCTCCCACATTTCTAGTCTTCCCTCCTTCAGTCACATTTCAGCAAGTTTTTAGATTGGAAATGTTAACAAGCAATAAAACCTTGTTTCCTTTTGTAGATGTTATTCACTGACACTATTTCCTCCTCTATGCCAAGAACCTCCTCATCATTCTGGTGTTTTCTTTAACTGACCTGTACCGTCCTTCTCCAGAGTCACATTTCACAATTATCTAGTCTTTGGATGTCCATTATTGGTCCCGTGCAAAAAGTCACTCCAAATTATAGTCTTAATTTAGACTGGTATTTGTTTGAAAATAATACAATGTATATTTATGTAAAAGTTTATATATGTGGACTGGCAGGTTGTGTTAAGTGCATATTTATCATGATCAGCAACAATACTTTCAAATACTACTGTTCTAGACAAATTAAATGCAATATATTAGCCTATAATAGTATTATTTAACACGTTGCCCTTATGAATTTGAATGCAATTTTAAGATTTACTGTACATAATCTCCTGTCATTCACTATTGCATCATGGTTGTGCTATGGCCCCCTCCCCTGACCCTGCCTCAAAGCCAGCAGTCAATGAAATGAGTTGATGTGGCAAAAATGTGTTCTCCTGCCCTGCTGGAAATTGCTAGAAATCCGATGGTACTAAGCCTCCTCAGAGAGGTGTAACTGGATTTTTAATGGCAGCTACCGCCGAGCAACCGATCTGCCATGACAGAAAACATGTTTTTGAATGTCTCTTAGGATTTCTTCCCAAGTTCTTTTTAAAACTAGATTATTTTTCTTCCAGCTTCTACCTTCATCCCATGTATATCTCCTAGTCTTTATTTTGCTCTTGTATACTAAGGGGAGATGGTGGTGTAGTGGCAATATCCAAGGGCTAGCATTCCAGAACCCCAGTCTAATGGTTTTGAGACATGATTTCAGATCCTACTGTGGTGAATGGAATGTGAAAATAATAAAAATCTGAAAAAAAGCTGTAGTCGAGTTGGTGACCATGCAACCACTGTTGGTTGTCATAAAAATGCATCTGATTCACTAATGTCCTTTTTTTGTTTTATTTTAGATAAATAAGTCCCACCTATTCTGGCCATAAGTAAAGTCTAACTGTCATAATGATGTTGCTGTAAATTTTAAAGTGATTTGATTTTAATACTTCTCATTTCCTTGCTGATTTGCTGTAAATTTTTTTTAACATGACTCCTCATGCAGTTCCATGTGTTTATCTTGCAAATCTTTGATGGAAATGTGACACAAAAAGCGTCAGTACTATCAAATTAGAAAGCATAAATAAATAGACATGCACTAGGGAAGACAGTAATGTATATCCTTGTGCTTTACAAGAGCTGTTGTAAAGTTGACGGAAAAAATTTCAGTTGTTTTTGTTTTTAATTTTAATGTTGGTGCAATGCATTATATAAAGCCAGATATGAAATTCAGTTTTTAATTTGGTCATGTACTAGAAATCGTTGGTCCAGCTCTTAGATGTCCGCCCCAAGAAGTTCCAGATGTATTGAGGGTTATCAGACCACTTTGATCATATATTTCAAAAGACAACAGGGGATCCAGGCCCTCAGTATACTATGTGGTGCATCCTAACACACAATCAGTTTGCAAGTTTATCTTTTTAAAAAAAATCTAAAATGAGCTTTAATTTGTATCATGGGACATCACTGTTAATTTAGTCAGGGGGTCAGTTGATTTGATCTTGTGATTACAATGCACATGCTAGTCTTGATTTTAAAATTAGTGATTCTAACCTTACGGCCTACACAGTCTTTCAAACAAAAACTCTAATTAAACTCTCTTCGTTACTGTTGTGGAGGATTTATGGTAACAAAAATATTGTGTTAACTTTTTTCTGTTCATAATTGATCTTGTAAAAGCCACTGCTGTGGTAAATTGCTTTACAGGTTCATTGGCTTACCAACTTGAGTCTGAAAATTATGCATGAAATACCTATGACGTTCTGATCATTGTAGTTGGCAAACTCCATTCTTGTTTAGAGATTTCAAACATTTGCTGCTGATCAGTGAGCTTCCTTGCTGGCAGTATGAGTATATAAAATGACCCTTTGTATGGGGTGGGATGGAAGAGTGGAAAGCAATGTTACATGGAAAATGTATATCAAATGTACATTTCTGTGTCAGAAACAGTCTTGAAATTGGAATCTGTATTAACAGAACAAAATGATTAATAAAAAACAAACTGCATGAGTTTAATTTTATGTGGAATTATGTTTGCCATTTGGTTGCGTATGTTATAAGTATTTTCTACTGTGTGCTGTCCTCTGTTGTGATGTAAACCCACTTAAGCTGATGGTTTTATAATCTTGTTGGAGCAGCTCATTCCTAATCTGACTTTAGTTATACTAACTCTTAATTTTCTAGCAAGGAAATTTTATTATTGCCCTTCCTCTGTAGTTTTGAACCTTTAATAGTTTTGGACATTTAATAATAACAGTAATATTCATTTTCAATTTCTGTTTGGTTTTAGGTTGGAATTAGTGGTTGAACCTTGGATTGAAGGTCTTTGGGATGCATTGAAGGAATTGTGCCAGAAGCAAAAAGAGGAGATTAACAGTGATGCAGAAAAAATATTGGATACGAATGATGTTTCAACAACAAACAAGAGTTTTGAGTTGTCAGATATTGAATTGAGGTTAGAAGCAAATGTACCGCCAACAGCTAAAGATTCATTTAATTCATCTGAGGGTGTTGAACAGAATCCTATTGTAGCAGGGCTTCAGGAATGTTGTCTAGTGCCAACCTGGGTAAAATCTGAAAAGCCCTTGTCAGAAACTGCTCTGAATATCCCTTCACTGCCAGTGGTGTATCTAAATGTGGAGTTTCAGAAGAGCACAGTGCAGGTAAGGCCATCTATCTCTAAGCACTGTCCTGTCAATTTGGTGGCATCGTTTATGTGCATTAATATACTGTTGAATGATGACTGTCTCAACAAATGTTTTTCCAAAGGAATATATTTAAATTCATTCATTTATGGGATACAAGTTGTGTTGATTGTCCAGGATTTATTATCCATCCCCAATTCTCCTGGAGAAGGTGATGGTGAGCTGGTCTGTTGAATGACTGCAGGCCTTTATGAAGGGCCACCCACACTGCTATTAGGGAGGGAATTAGGGATTTTAATCAAGAACACTGAAGGAACGGCAATAGATTTGCAAGCCAGGATGTGTGTCGGTTGGAGGGACACTTGCAGCTAGTGGTGCTTCCAAGTATCTGCTGCCCCTCCCCTGAGTGACTGCAATGCACATTGCTGATGGTATACATTGCTGATAGTGGATGATAACACTTCCTGAGTGTTATTGGAGCTGCACTCATCCAAGCAAGTGGGGAGTATTTCATCACAGTCCTGACATTTGTACTTTGTAGATGGTGGACAGACTTTATGGAGAAAGGGGATGAATTACTCACTGTAGAATTTCTGGCCTCTGACCCTTGTAGCTAAGTATTGGTTTGGTGGTCTAATTCAATTTTTGTGATGAGTGGTAAATCCCAAGATTTAAATAGTCAGGGATTCATTGTTGGGGACAGAGGGGGGATATGTCTAATATGTTTTTTTTTTGGATTTTCCAGAGTCCAGAAAGTTTGACAATAAGAGAAAATGGACACTGAGGGAGGTAAAAATACAAAAAGCAGGAGAGCAAATGTTCATGAAAATTTCAGGACAAACTTGTCTAGACTGTAAAATGGTAAATAAGAGTAAGCAGGATGAATAAAATACTCCCAAGGATACACTACAGAGCATTCACATTAATCATTATTATACCCACCCATCCTCCATCCCTCAGGTAACAGAAAATGTCTGTAGGAGCAAGTGTAATAATACAGGGAAAACTAAATTTTTAAAAGAGTAGAAACCTTCACTCAAGATCAAACAATCAATTACGAACTAAGTCCGCTCTCCTGGTAAATGTATTAATAAACTTTTTTTAATTGTAGGGAATAAAAAGCAGAGTACAATAGATCTTTATAAAAATCTTCATTGTAAATGGAAATCAGGAAATAATGTGGTTGAGACCAATCGGCTTAGCTGCTTTATTGATGACTTTCTCTCCATCATAAGGCCAGAAGTGGAAATCTTCCCTGAAAGCATGATGTTCAATGCTGTTTGATTTCTTGGGTACTTAAGAAGTTCATGCCCATGTGCAGTAAAACCTGGGTATGATTCAGGCTTAGGCTGATAAATGGTGGGTAACACTTACTCATTACCTGGTACTTGTGTGGAATATCTCCACTAAGAAAATCTAACCATCTAGCCTGGACAGTCAATAGGATTAACATTGTTGAATCCCCACTGTCATTTCCTAGGCTTTACTATTGACCAGAAACTGAACTGGATCAGCCCTATAAATACTGTGGCTATGAAAACAAATCAAAGACTGGAAGTGTTGGAGCAACTAACTCGGTGCTGGACTCTCTGAAGCCTGTCCACCACTCATAGGGTGCGAATCAGGGTGATGGAATGCTGTCCACTTGCCTGGATGAACACCGCTCCGAAAGCACTCAGGAACTCCATGCAAAACAGTCCCCTTCAGCATCCCCTCCACCATTACCCTGCTTTCATTGGAAGTGCATACTTGATAGCAGTCTGCCCTATATAGATGACCTACAGCAACTCACCAAGGCTCCTTCAACACTCCCCTTCAAACCTGTGACCTCCACCACCTAGAAAAATAATGACAGTAAATGCATGGGAAAACTACTACTGGCAGATTTGCCTACAAGTCAAACACTGTTCTGATTCCGAGCTATATTGCCAGTCTCCTCTGTCTGTGGACAGAATACTGGGCTGTCTTCCTAACAGTAACGTAGGTGCATCTACATCACATGGACCGCAGTAATTCAATTATTAGGTGGCTTACTGTCACCCTCTCAAAGGAAATAATTGCTGACCTACCCAACGATTATCCATGTTCCATTAACCAATTTAAAGAAAAAAATCAGACTCTAATCTCTACTGTTTTGCAGGTTTTGGTTTTTCTCTCTTGCCTTCTGGACAGTACCTGTTAATTTTGCTGTTCACACCTTTCTTGAGACATCTTTTTACTAATTTGTCACAATATCATCCCTTTTGGCTTTCCCCTACCAGTTCTTCTCATTTAATCTCCTGTTTTTCCACTCTGTCACAAGCCTTTCTTTTTGTTCATTTTTCATCTTCTCCTCTTTCACTACTTGGACCTTTTATTTATATCTTTTTCCTAGTTCTAATGCAAGGTCATTGACATGAAATGTTGCTTCTGTTTCCACAAAATGAATCTGACCTGCTTGGTATTTCCAGCACTTTTCTGGTTTATTTTTCTTTTATTTCAGATTTCCAGGATCTACAGTGTTTTGTTTTATACTTCCCTTCCCTGCCTTATTGACTTAACATTGTATGCATCTGAAATTAGTAGTACAATTTAGCAGTTGTAATATAATGAGGTTTAATGATTTTTTTTTTGATCACTGTTTCTATATTTTTAACTTTCAATCCTACTGTTTGCTGAAGACAATCAATTCTTTACAAGGAAGTTAATTGACTTAACATTTAATTGGTTTTGTTGGCAGCAGTTCCACAGATCTATTTCTGAGTTTGGGAATTGGGGTTTAATGTCTACTTTTTAACATGTGTTTGCAGTATCAATATGTTAGACCTGAATTCTGGCATAAGGTTAAATTCTGCAAGCTCTCCGTTTGAAAATGTGTTAACACTGAGTAGTAGATGTTCTCCTACTGTAGTGAATGTTTCCTGATGAAAGCTACCTCCCTTGAATGACTGAGAACTAGCAACTGCAACAACACTTGTTTTACTGAGTTCGGGTGAGGAAGTATAGGTTGACACACTGTGCTGTATTCTGAGCTGAAAGAACTTTTAAAGAAAAATAAATGGCTAAATCTGAAATATAAATATAAGACGTACCATATACAGGTCTATATATTGTAATGTTTAAATAGATTTACTCCCCTATAGTCCTTGACAGTACAATTGTAGATTAACTGGGCTCCATCTAGTGGCAGACATTGCTTAGTGCTGATAGCAGCTGGACAGGGCCGCTGGCACTTTCCAGCTTCTGCTACAAGATGGAGTATGGACTTCTGTTTCTGTGTACAACAGGAGGCACCAGCTATGGGTGAGAACAGCTGAAGATGGGCCCAGGTAAGAATGCAAGGTGAGGGTGGGAGTGGTTTCCAGGCTGAGGGTGGGAACAGGTTCAGGTTCAGGGAGAGGGCAGGAGTGGGTGCCAGGCTGTGAACCTAGATTTGTGGAGAATGGCCGGGCAGGGGGGAAATGTGACATCGAAGAGCAGCTGAAGACCCCTGTTGTTGACACTGCGGTCCTTAAGAATGGGGTGGGGCTGTAAGGATGACTTAAGTACTGAGAGTCAGCTGAGCACTGGGGAAAAGGTCATGAGCATGTTGCATGCGATGGACAGAACAAGAAACCTACAATCAGCCATGTTAAGGTGGAACTTGAGACATCAGCACGAATTTTGTTAACAGTTAATGTGAAACAACGCTGTGAGTTTACTTTCCTCAAATACAGGAGGTCTCCACTTAATCAGTAGTGAACGTAGTTCAGGAAGGATGTAGAAGAGGAATGGACAGCTGAGCAGAAATGTCCCTAGAATGTTTGTGTGCATATGGAGCTGTAAATCTCCTGGAGTTGGCTGATATATGTTCTTTCTAATCCTTCCACTCGCTGTTTAATCCTCAGGTCTGTGAACAAGAATGCTTCTTGCTAGCACCAGACATCACTCTGTTTCAGGTTCCAGTGACTAAAGCAATTTCCCTAACCCGGGAGGATGCGGTGAAAACTGCACTATTTTTGGAGCTTGATATTTCAGTAAGTCTTTCTGCTGGTATCAATTTTGAGTTTCCATTAAAGATGAAAGTGTCCTGTAGTATGGAACATAAAATGTTGTGCCACAGAAGGATATGATGCACCTTGTTAACTTCCATACGTGCAGGCTTTGCATTAGTAATACCATTGCTGTTTGTGGGAGCCCTTGCTGAATCCAAATTGATGTTCCATTACAGTTGTCTGCACACATTGCAACCAGTTGAAATTTATTTATTTATTTGAAGCAATTTTGGACATGAAAGATGCTCTATAAATGCTAAGTTCTTTGTTTCCTTCTGACATCAGTCTTGCTGTCCTGCAGAAAGTCTGAGAAATAAGATTGCTGGAAGCAGAGTATAGAATGGTATTAGGAAAGTTCTATGCAATGGTTTGCTTCCCAATTCTCTATTTGGGGTTTATGTTTTTGTAGATGTGGAGAGAAGGGGAAAAACTGAATTATGAATTATAGGCCTGGTATGCTGAATAGCTTGGTGTCATTTTTGTTGGATAGGTTGGAGGGATACCTCTCTTCCTGGTTTTTATATTTTTAACTCTATTAGTATGTGCTGTGTTGGATTTTTAAGACTATCGCTGCATCTTCTCAGTAGTTTAGCCTTATCCACTGTTGGCTCTGGTCAGAGGTTATGGTTTGAACTTCCTGGTGAACACTTTGGCTCCCAGACACTGGGATTAGAGATTCAGGTATGGAGGTTACATGATAAAAAGATGGCTTTACTATTTCTCTAAATGTTATCTAAACCACCTTTTTTATCTACCTGCCCCACTACTTTCAGGGAAATGTGGATCCTCTAACCTTTAATACTTTCCAGGGTCCTACCTTTCATAGTGTAATCCCCTGCCTTGTTAGCCCTCCCCAAGTGCATTGCTTCACACTAGTTTTTCTGGGTTGAATTCCATTTGGCACTGCCCAAATGACCAATCTGTTGATGTCCTCCAGCTGTTTATGGCTATCCTCTTCACTATTTGTTATCCTGTCAATTTTTCCGTCGTCTGCAAACTTCTTGACTATACTCCCTATTAATGAAGTCCAAATCATTTACTTGACACACAGACAGCAAAGGTCCCAACAATGAGCCCTGCAGATCCCCATTGGAAATAGATTTCTAGTCTCTGGAAACATTCCTCTGCTTTCTGCCTCTTAGGCGTTTTTGGATCCAGTGTGATACTTTGCCTTGGATCTCACGAGCTTTTTTTTTTCTTAACCAGTATGCCATGAGGGACCATATCAAAAAAGCCTCTGAAGTTCACGTAGGCCACATCAAATACAGTACCCTCCATCAAATTTGTCAAATGTGACATTCCCTCATTAGATCGATGCTGACTATCTTGGATTAATCCATGCCTTTCCAAGTGCAGATATATTCTGCCTCTCGGAATTCTTTCTGATAACTTCCTCACCACTGAGGTTAGATTGACCAGCTTGTAAGAGCCCTAAATATCCAAGCTTCTTTCTAAATATGAGCTTCTTTCTCCTTCTTAATTCTGACCTCAAATCCCTTGATGTCTGGAGTTCTGTGGTCTTAGCTCCGCCTCTTTTCTTATTACGAGAACATAGTTGCCCTATACCCTTGTTTTTTTTCGTTAATGGCTCCCAATGATCTGACACAGTTTTATCTGCTGCCAGTCTGTATGGGTCACACTATACCTTATCACAGTAAAATTTTCCCAGTTTAGAACCTTTTATTTCTGACTCTGTCTTTTTCCATAACTATCATAACTGAATTATGGTCACTATCTCCAAAATACACCCCTACTTTCTATGTACTGGCTACAAGGCCCTCCTGGATGCAATTTAAGAACTTTTCTCCCTCCTTGCTAAAACTATCCCAGTTAATACTTGGGTAGTAAAAATATTCTACTTTTTAATGCCTCATTATTCTTGCATTTCTCTGAAATTTGATCATCTTTTTCCCTGACACTCAACAGTGTGTTCACACTTTTTGGTGCTTCCTGCTTCTACCCATATGGCCTCACTTGATGATCTTCCTAAGATATAATCCCTCCTCACTGCTTTTAAATGATTCCTTGTTCAATATTGTGATGGCCCCTCCTCTTCTATCGACCCTCTATCTCATCTGAATGCCCTATAACAAGGAATGTTGGGATGTGTCTCACTTCACTAGGGTGGTGTGCTGGAAATCAGGCCCCACTGTTCCCAGAATCCTCATTAAAAGTGAAAGATTTTATAAAAGCATGCAAAATTCCCTGATTTACCTGTCAATTAGACTGAGGTTGACAGAAAACCTGAACCAGGTTTCTGTACTTGACAAGAATTACTATTATTAAAATAAAATATAGCTACTAGTAAATAGTTATGAACCATCAACATATGACTTTACTAGTTAAAGTTCTAATGCCCTTTTAAAACTACACCTATACATACAGATTAAAAAAGAATTGGTGTTGTGGGAGGAGGGAGAATGGGAAGGGGTTAATGGTCCCTGTCTTCAGGGTTTGCTGAAATGATCCTTTGGGACTTGCTGCTTGTTGATTTCTCATCTCAAGATACTTGTTTAGTTTCACTTGCTTACAGGAGGCACAGGGCACCCGGTTCATGCTTAGAAAGTCTATGACTTTGTGGTTAAAAGCAGGGATCTTACAGAAACTGATGAGGGGAAATACACTAGCTGTCTTTTAGTCTTGAAGTGTTTTGGATTTACTGCAAGAGTTTTGGCATCTAATCAAACATTCTTGCACACAAGCTGGACAGCTATCAAAGGGCTAGCCTCCGTTGTTGGCAGGTAGAAAGTCTTTAGCCTGTGGAATGGTGACTGGTTGTCAATGAACAATCAGCTATGTGTTGCCAGCTGATTCTCCCTTTGTTCACAGCTCTGACTCCAGCTTGTCTGAAGTAACCTCCTCCATCTTTCGAACAAACAGCACTTTAGAGTCATAGAGCACAGAAACAGATCCTTTGGTTCAAGTTGTCCATGCTGACCAGGTTTGCCAAACTAATCTGGTCCCATTTGCTTGCATTTGGCCCATATTCCTCTAAACCTTTCCAACTTGGAAAGATCATCAAGTGAGGCCATATGGGTGGAAGCAGGTATGTTTGTACCTGCCCAGATGCCTTTTAAATGTTGTAATTGTACCAACCTCCACTACCTCCTCTGGCAGCTCATTCCATACACGCACCACACTCTGCATGAAAAAAATTGCCCCTTCGGTCTCTTTTTAAATCTTTCCTGTCTCCACTTAAACCTATGTTGTCTAGTTTTAGACACCCCTACTCTGGGGAAAAGACCTTGGCTATTCACCATATCCATGCCCGTCATGATTTTGTAAACCTCTTGAAGGTCACTCCTCAGTCTCTGATTGCTGCAGGGAAAATAGCCCCCGCCTATTCAGCCTCTCCCTGTAGCTGAAATCCTCCAATCCTGGCATCATCCTTGTAAGCCTTTTCTGAACCCTTTCAGGCTTAACAACATCATTCCTATAGCAGGGAGACCAGAACTGAACACAACACTCTAAATGTGGCCAAATCATTGTCCTGTACAGCCGCTACATGACCTCCCAACTCCTATACTCAATGCACTGACCAATAAAGGCAAGCATACCAAACACCACCTTCACTATCCTGTCTACCTGCGACTCCACTTTCAAGGAACTATGAACCTGTACCCCAAGGTCTCCTCAGGTTCTAAGCACTAAGTAATTTATTTATAGTGCTTTATACATTTTACAACATTGAAATTTTGCTGCTTGCCATGAAAGATTCATAGGATGTTCACAGTAAGTATAACTTGCTGTAATCTAGATAGACCTAGTAAATAAATGCAATAGTTAATTGACCTGTTATTATAAAATACTAAAAGCATAGGGAGTGGTACTGGTTGTTGAGAAGTGGAGGAGGCCCAGAGAAGATATTTTTAATCAACCTGTTCGACAAGTTTATGATGCACCTCCTGGAGCAAGTGGAAGTTGAACCTGGGTCTCCTGACTGAAAGGTAGGGACATTGCCGCTGGATCATAAGTCCCAGGCCTAGAGTGGTTGTTAATAGCAGTATGTTTGTCCCCTGTTAGGCCTTTACGTCTATAATTTAGAAGGTTAAGGGTAATCTGATCAGATATTAAAAGAAAAAGACAGCATCGACAAAGATAAAGTATCCCCACTAGATGAGGATTCTAGAACTAAGGGACATTGTCAGAGAATTAGGCCCAGACCATTAGGAGAGATGTTAGGAAGCACTTCTACACACAGATGCTAGATGTTTGGAACTCTCTTCCATAAATGGCAGCTGATGCTGGATCAGTTATTAATTTCAAATCTGAAATGGATATGTTTTTGTGAAGCAAAGATATTAAGGGATATGGGCTAAAGGTTGTTATATGAAGTTAGGCCACAGATCAGCCATGATTTCATTGAATGGTGGAAAAGGTTTGAGGGGTTGAAATAGCCAACTCCTTTTCCTATATTCCTAAACTGGGCTGAAAGCAAAACCAAGAAATCCAGACATTGACTGGGGCTGGGGCTGGAGTGGGAAGGAAGTGGAGAATGTTCTTTGGCTGAAATTGTTGAATTCCATGTTGAGTTCAGAAGACTGTAAAGTGCCTAAACTGAAAATGAGGTACTGTCTTCCTTTAGCTGGTATTGTGGTTCACCGGAACACTACAGGAGAGCTTCTCCTCATTTGTCTCCTTAGCGGCTTTCCTCTGCCACACTAGGCAATTAGGCCCTACAGATCTACAGGAGGATCGTGTTAGCAAATTTGCCTTATGGTGAAATGCAGTCCAGCCATATCGTACAATATTATGAGGATTTGTTACACAGCAAATCCTGCACCGCCACCTTAGTCAGCGGCAATAAAGTCTTATGATATCTATGGATCTTTTCTTATTTTGCAGAAAACCTCAATGACGTATGAGCCTGGAGATGCTTTCAGTATTATATGTCCTAATAGTAAGAGTGAGGTGGAAGAACTAATTCAGAGGCTTGGGCTTGCAAACAAGAAGAACCATGTGGTTGAAATAAACATTATACCAAACAATAAGAAAAAAGGTATCTGAAAATGAAAGTCTTTCATGTGAATGAATGAATGATTTATATTGTCCTATAATGCAGTTTCACTTTTTAAGATCATTACACTGTCTATCTAAATGATATCATTACCCCCTGGCTGAATTAACGTCCTTTGTAAGAGTTACGTAAACACCAGAAGACTCTAGTCCTGAATTATTTTTGACAGTCAGTGGGCCTGTGCAAGTGCAGCTTCTGCCCAAATTGGTGACTGGCACATTTCAGTTGGTTTGTTAATGTTGGAAAATTGTAGCTGACAGCTTGTTTTTAACTGATTTGATGAGCAAAATCTGGCAATGAATTTGATAAAAATGCCTTTATCACCCAGATGTTTGACAGTATCTATACAACAGCATCATGTTTAAAGTGCATGGCTTGTGAAAGCAGGTGCAAATCCTAAAATCTACTTTTAAGTAGCCATTGATATTATGCTTTTGTTCTGTAAATTTGAAATTCTGCATCTTTTCAAAGGATGGTTGTAGCATTACAACTTGAAAATACAACAAACTTATTCATTTTTAATTAAAAAATGAATGTACATAGTGCCATTGACACCAACACATCTTGGAACAGGTTACAAAAATGAGGAGGATGCATTATAGAAACAAAAAACCAGGTTGTAGACAAAAGGGGTCTGAAATAGTGACCAAATACTAACTCAAAAGATGGGATTTGGGAAAGGATCTAAAATGAAGACAGAGTAATGAGTAGAATTGAGGTGGTTTAAAGCCTCTCTATTGTGAGAAGAAACAGGAGATAGCTATGCACACAAGGTAGTGTTTATAAAAAGCTTCTTTCGCAGGCTGAGTTCAGAATCGCAGAATTATTACAGTGTGGCCTTTCAGCTCATCGTGTCTGTATTAGCTCTGTTAACTAGTGCCAATCTTCTGCCTTTTTCCCCTGCACATCGTTACTATCCAAAAATAAATTCAATGTTCTCTTGAACGCTTCAATTGAATCTGCTTCCAGCATTATTTTCAAAGAATGCATTCCATACCCAACAACTGGCTGTGTGAAAAAATTGTTTTCTCACATCACCCTTGCTTCATTTGCACATTGCTTTACAACTATTTCCTCTCATTCTTGTTTCTTTTACACGTAGAACCAGATTCACCCTATCTACTCTGTTCAGCGTTGTTATGATTTGGAAAACATCAATTAGATCTCTTCTGACCTTTCCTCACTCCAAGGAGAACAGTCCCAACTTCTTCAAGCTATCTGCATAGCTGAGGTTTCTCATTCCTTGAACCATTTCTAGTAACTCACATTTGCACCCTTCTTATAATGTGGTACCCAGAACTGTACAGAGTACTCCATCTGAAATTGAACAAGTGTCTTTTACAAGTTCAATATCACCTCCTTGTGCTTGTACTATATGCCCCTCTTAATAAAGCCAAGAACACTATATGATTTATTTACTTCTGTCTCCACCTGTCCTGCTGCCTTCAATGATGTGTGCGCATGTATACCACATCCTTTTGCTCCTGCATTCCTTTTGAAATGTACCCCCTATTCTATATTGTCTTTCAGTGTTCTACCAACCAGAGTGTGCCACCTCGCACTTCTCTGCATTGAACTTTATCTGCCACCTATCTGCCCACTCCACCAACTTGACAATGTCCTTTTGAAGTTCCACACTATCCTCCTCCTCCTCCCAGTTTACAATTCTTCCAAATTTAGTATCATCTGCCAACCTGGAAATTATCCCCTGCTTTCCAAGATCTAGATCATTTGTATTAATATTTTTCAGGAAGAGCAATGTCCCAATAACAGCCTCCACTACAGTTGTTCCTCCAGCCTAGAAAATATTCATTGACCATTACTCTTTGTTTTCTATCACTCAGCGTTTTTTGTTTTCTTTTGTATCCATATTGCTACCGACCCTTTTTATACCATGACCTAAACTTTTCTTGTCTGTATCAAACACCTTCTGAAAATCCTTGTACACAGCATTCTTGTACCCTCATTGAACCTTTTCTGTTATATCTTCAAAAAAAACTCCCAAGTTCGTTAAACCAGATTTCCGTTTTAGAAATTCATGCTGACTCTTCCTAATCGGCCCACCTTTTTCCATATGACTACTGATCCCATCACGAATAAATGTTTCCAAAAGTTTCCCACGACTGACGTTAAACTAACTAACTGCTGCGATTAGCCTTGCAACTTCTTTTGAACAAGGCCATATTGTTGGGACCTCTCCAGCCTTCTGGCACCTCCCCACAGCAGGGAACACTGAAAGATTGCCACCAGTGTCTCTGCAATTTCAACCCTCGCTTCCTTCAAGATCCTTGGATGCATCTGATGTGGTCCCGGTGTCTTGTTAACTTTAAGTACCAATAATCTTATCCAAGAATTTTTCTTTTCATTAATTTTTGATACCTTTGCATTGACAGGATTTTTTATTTCTTCTGTCTTCTTGGTATTGTTCTATATAAGCTGAGTACAAATTCAAAGAGGAACAAAGAACAAAACAGCACAGGAACAGGCCTTTCGGCCCTCCAAGCCTACACCGACACATTTTTGTCCTTCCATATTAAAACTGTCTTCACTTACAGGATCCGTATCCCTCTATTCCCTTCCTATTTGTGTATTCAACTTGAATACAGCTTCCTGAATGCTGCTATTGTGTCTGCTTCCAACACCACCTCTGGCAGTGTATTCTGGGCATTCACCACTCTGTGTGGAAAACATGCCTTGCATATCTTTTTTTAAACTATTCTCCCTCCTTCCTTCCTTCCTTCCCCTCCTCCACAACTCCCCCCACCCCGAACCTGTGTCCCTTAGTAATTGAACCTTCCACCCTGGGGAGAAAAACCTCATACTTTCCACTGTATCCATGCCATTCACAATCTTTTAAACTTCTATCAGGTCCCCCCTCAACCTCTCTCACTCCAGTGGAAACAAGCCCAGTTTATCCAACCTTTCTCCATAGCTAAAGCTGCAGCGTAATTGTCTATCCTTAATACTCAATGCCCCTTGCAATGAAGGCAGGCTTGCCATAAGACTTGTTTACTACTTTGTCTATTTGTGCAGTCACCTGGACCCCTCTGCGTATCTATACTCCTAAGGGTTTTGCCATTCACTGTATAATTTCCACCTGTACTTGACCTTCCAAAATGCACCACCTCACACATTTGTCTGGATTAAACTCCATCTGCCATTTTTCTTCCCATGCCTCCAACTGATCTACATTCTGCTATATCCTCTGACAGTCTTCCTCGCTATCCGCAACTCCTCTAATCTGCAAACTTACGAAGTAGACCAGCAATGTTTTCCTCCAAATAGTTTATTATAGATCACAAACAGCAGCGGTCTCAGCACTGATCCCTGTGGAACACCACTACTCACAGCCCTCCATTCTGAAAAGCATCCTTCCACCGCTACCCCCTGTCTCCTATAACTAATCTAGTTCTATATCCATCTCCCCAGCTTACCCCAATATTATGTGACTTTACCTTTGTGTACCAGCCTGCCTTGAGGGACCTTTATCAGAGGCTTTTCTGAAGTTCATGTAGACAACATCAACAGCTTTTCCCTCATCAATCATTTTGGTCACCTCTTCAAAAAACACGATCAAGTTAGTGAGGCACAACCTCCCCCTGCTCAAAACCATGCTATTTATTGCTAATCAGTCCATTTCCTTCTAAATGCCTATAGATCTTGTCCTTGAGAACCTTTTTCCAATAATTTCCCTACCACTGATGTGAGGCTCACAGGCATGTGATTTCCTGGATTATCCCTGTTATCCTTTTTAAGCAATGGGACATCATTAGCTTTTCTCCAGCCTTCTGGGACCTCACCTGTGGCCAAAGAGGATATAAAGATGTCTGTCAATGCTCCAGCAATTTGTTTTCTTGCCTGTTTCAATATTCTGAGAGAGATCCCATCAGAACCCAGGGACTTATCTATCTTAATACTTATTAAGATATACAACACCTCTTCCTTTTTAATAGCAACTTGACTTAGACATTCGACACTCCCTTCCCTGAGATCATCCTCCAATTCCTTCTCTTTGGTGAATACCAATACAAAGTATTCATTTAAGACCTTACCTACCTCTTCTGGCTCTGCATGCATTCCCTCCTTTGTCCTTGAGTGGGCCAACCCTTTGCCTAGCTATCCTCTTGCTTTTTATATATGTATAAAAAACCTTGGGATTCTCCTCATTAATCCTGTTTGCCAGCAACTTTCTATGACTCCTTTTTTTGGCCCTTTGAATTTCTTGCATAAGTTCTTTCCTACTTTTGTGTGATATACTTCTAGGGCTTTCAGTTCCCACCCTTGTAGACCTTACAAATGCTTCCTTTTCCTTTTTGACCAAGGTCATAACACCACTGGTCATCCAAGGTTCACATAACTTGCCATAACTTTCCTTCATTCTCGCAGGAAAGTGTCTCTCCGGAACTCTTATCAACTGCCGTTTGAAATACTCCCACATGTCTGATGTAGATTTACCCTCAAACAGGTGCCTCCAATCAAAATTCTCTTGTTCCTGCCTAATATTGTTGTAGTTCTCCTTCCCCCAATTTAACACCTTCACTTGGACTGCTGTTTATCCCTATTCGTGAGTATCTTAAAACTCATGGTATTATGGTCACTACTCCTGAAATGCTCCCCCATCAAAACCTCACTTACCTGCCTGGGCTCATTTCCCAAAACTAGGTCCAATATAACCCCTTCCCTAGTTAGACTGATTTACATGTGGTGTCAAAAAACCCTCCTGAATGGTCCTTACAAATTCTGCTCCACCAAGCTCCAAGCACAAAGTGAGTCCCAGTCAATACAGGGGAAGTTAAAATTACCACCACAACAACTCTGATATTTTTACATCTTTCTAAAATCTATCCACATGTTCTCTCCTTTATCTCCCACTGGCTGGTGGGAGGCCTGTAGTATCCCCCCAGCACTGTGATTTCATCTTTCCTCTTCTTGAGTTCTACCCATATACCTTGTTACACAAGTCCTCTGATGTTTCCTCCCTTGGGAGGTATTACTTTACCAGTAATGCAACTCCTCAACCCCTTTTTACATCCCTTTCTATCACACCCGAAAGATCTAAATCCTGGGACGTCACCTGCCAGTCCTGTCCCTCTTTTGGGCCAAGTCTCTGTATTCACAATAATGTCATAGTTCCAAGTACTAACCAACGCTCTGAGTTCATCTACCTTGCCAATTATACTTGTTGCATTGAAACATATGCATTTCAGAACACATACCTGCAGTTTTTAAAGAAACATTTCACTGCGTGCTCTTAGTCATGTTTGCCCTGGTTTCTACCTCTACCAAGTATGCTCTCAAGAACATCAGTCCTGATCCTGCCCAAGTTTAACCTGTCCAGGCTGTACAGATGCTACCTCACACAGAACTAGTGCCAATGGCCAACGAATCTGAAAACCTTGCCATCAAACAATCTTTTCAGTCACATGCTCATCCTATATATCCTGCTGTTTCTGCTCTGCCTTGTTTGTGGAACTGGTAGTACTCCTGAGATAACTATCTTTGAGGTACTACATCTCAACTTTCCTCCTAGTTCTCTGTATTCTGCTTTTAGGACCTCATACTTTTTTTTTCAAACCTATGTCATTAGTATCGACGTGTACCACGACCATTGGCTGTTTGACCCCCCCCCCCCCCTCCAGAATATCCTGCAACCGTTCAGACATCCAGGACCCTAGTACCAGGAAGGCAACACACCATTCTGGGCTTTTGTTTGCGACCACAGAAACACCTATCTATTCCCCTTATGATTGAATCCCCTGTAACTATAGCATTTCTATGCCTATTTCTCCCTCCCTTTGCAGCAGAGCCAACTACAGTATCATGAATTTGGTTGTTGCTGTTATCCCCTGAGAGGCAATTCCCGTCAACAGTATCCAAAACGGTGTATCTGCTTTGCAGGAGAATAGCCTCAGGAGATTGCTTAGCTCTCCTGCTCTGCCTGATGGTCACCCATTCCCTTCCTGCCTGTGGAGTCTGAATCTGCAGTGTGACCACTTTTATATACATGCTGTCCGCGTCCCACTTTGCCTCGCGAATGCTCCATGGTGTCCCCAGACACCGCTCCCACTCCAAAACCTGGGCTTCCAGGAGCTGCAGCTGGACACACTTTGTGCACACATGCATGTCCCAGGCGGGAAATTCCTTGAGGATTGGCAATAAATGCTGGCATGGTTAGCAATGTTCCGTGAATGAATACAGACAGTGCATTGGTTTCCACAGTTGAGATCGGGTTCATGAAATCTTGTTCCAGGATATGGTTTTTTTTTTTTTGTAAATTTAAGAACATAATCGAGTGATGGCAAGTTAATGGAAATCCCTCTTGTCTATTCTTTTATAAATGGATTAATATTTTAATCTTTCATGGGATGTGGGCATCGCTGGTAAGTGAGCATTAACTGTCCATCCCTAATTGCCCATAGTGGTGGTGAGCTGACTTTATGAACTGCTACAGTCCTTGTGATGTGGTTATACCCGCAGTGCTGATAGAAAGGGTTTTTCAGGACCTTGATCCATCATCACTGAAGAAATGACATTATAGTTTCAAGTCTGGACGGTGTGCGGATGGTAGTGTTTCTGTGCATCTGCTGCCCTCATCCTTTTAGGTTGTAGAGGCTGTGTTTAAAAGGTGCTTTTGAAAGAGCCTTGATGAGTTGCCATAGTGCATCTTGTAGATGGTACTTACTCCTGACACTGCCTTCATGATGGAGGGCTGTTTGTTTGTTTGTTTTGTTAAGGTGGTGGTTGGAGTGCTAGTCAAGCAAATTGCTGGGATGGGGAGCCAGGTGCTGCCTTTGTCTCAATATTGTTACGCTGCGCTCATCCTGACTTGTGCCCTGTAGATGTTGGACGGGCTTTGAGACGTGAGGAGCAGTCCTCCAAATACACCACAGAATTTACCCCTAGAATCCTGAAAATTCACTCGTTGGGGGTGACTTATCCGAAGAAAGTGACAGTGATAACCAGCATGGTAGGAAATAGTTTCAGAGATAGTAGGAACTGCAGATGCTGGAGAATCTGAGATACACAGCTTACAGCTGGTTGTGTCTCCTTTTCACTGTGAACTAATCAGCTTCTGATTAAAGGAGCAACCAGCAAAAAGGAGAGTAAATGTTAGCAGTGAGGGTACTGTCAGCAGAGTATCTGTTGGGGACTGAGTGTGGGCTGGGGAGTGTGCAGCTGTCCTGTATCGAGGCTGGGAGGGTACAGTGTGGGTATGTCTCAGTGGGAAGGTGCAAGGGTGAAGTGGCTGCAATAGGGCAGGCATAAAGAGGCTGCAAGTTTGGAGCGGTTTTTGGTGGAAAGAGAAGGGAGCTGCTCTGGGCCTGGGGAGGCTGCAAAGGGAAGAGAATAGTCTTAAATTTGTCAACAAAGGAATACTCTTCTCGCTGGGATCCAAAACAAAACATGGGTGATAAATGGTGGAATCTCCAGTTTGAATCTGCATGGTTTTAGAAGTTACTACTCTTGGACAAATATTGTGATTCTTACTATAATGAAAGCCATGTCAGTTGTTAAATTTAAATTTGGGATCGACAGTCAAGATACAGTAAATTGCCTGGTTAAATGTACCGGCTTTGTGCATCTGCGATTTTGTAATGCATCATCTGTGACCTCATCAGTCTGTGGAAGGTATGTTTAGGGTGATGGCTTTTTGTGCGTAGAAGCATAACGTCATTTATTTTGGGGGTAAAATCCTTTAACTTCTGTGCCTATTGTATCACTTTGGAATCCTAGATGCCATAATTTTTGTCACTTTCCTTTCTATTGGGGCTTCTATAAGTGTTTTCCTACTTTCTTTCTGTACCTGTTCAAATTCCCCATATGTCAATACAAATACAGAAGGTGTTGTGACTGCTTGAGTATATTGCTGATGGGTGAGTTATGGTGAATGTGCAGTTGAGTTGAGTTACATGCTACAGAATTCCTACCCTCCATTCCTGCTGTTGTAACCTCAGCGTTCATGTGGCTCATCCAGTTCAGTTTCTGACCAGTGATTTATGCTCCAGAGTGTTAGTGGGCATTGGGTGATAGTGATGCTAATGAACATAAAGGGTGATGGCTAGATCCTCTTGTCACTGCGTGGCACCTACGTTGCATGAATGTCACTTGATCCATATCAGCTTAAGCTTTTTAGTATAAGTTGGACACAAATGAAATTAAATTGGATTTTTATTTAAACATGTCACTTGTCACTTGTCCTCCATGTCATCAATTCAACAGATTCAACTTGCAACAAATTAAGTTTTTGATTTCAATGGTGCTTCTATAGATATAATTATGTATCCTCCCCTGTTTAGACTAACATGTCAAGTCAATTGTCAGCCAGTTTATAATAGAAAATGAAAGTTTGCTAATGATTTACTTTGTAAAGCACTAGGCCACAGCCTGCAATATATGTTAACTGAGCAACTAATTTGAATATTTTAGGCAAACCAGTTGGCATATCTGGAACTGGCACCCATGGTCGAAGGAAATAGTATTAAATTACATGAAAATTGAATAGATGTCTTTCTTTTAGTAAATGTTCTGGGATAGGGAGAGTAATTGGGTATATGACACTGGTGTCGAATTCTTTGCAGGAGCAAGTACTTTAGATCTCTGGTTCCAAATGTTTCGACCACTGGGATTTATTCTTCCTCGTTTTTGGATGTCGCACAAAACAAAGTTATAGTCCAAGAGATTTATTTGAAAATACAAGCTTTTGGAGCCTCGCACATCTGAAGGAGGAGTGAGGCTCCGAAAGCTTGTGTTTTCAAATGAACTTGTTGGACTTTAACCTGGCGTTGTGATTTCTGACCTTGTCCACCCCAGTCCAATACCAGCAACTCCACATATATCTGGATATGGCAGGGTTCAGAGGAAGATTTGAAACATTAATTTGCTTTCTCTCTACAGATGCTACCAGACCTGCTGAGGTTTTGCACTTTTTTGCTTTTATTTCAGGTCTCCAGCATCCAGAGTGTTTTTTCTTTTGTTTCCTCATCATGTTTCAGGCTGTGGCCTACTGCTTTGATTTTAACTAAATACCTTCCAAATGTGATGTGACAATGTTATGGCAACAAGTTGATCCAGGCTAACAAGCCTATCACATACATTTTGTGAAATGTCTAATTATGTAGCTTTTACTTGGGTTGATTTTGAGTGTCAGCTGATTTGGTTTAATAAACTTAAAAACCTTTTTAAGTTAACTCCAAAACATTTCTCAAATGTAACTGATTTTGAAATGAGGACATGAATTTGCTGCTCTAATTACAGAAAAGTTATATTTTGTCATCATGGTGGAAGTTGAGTTGCAAATTGTTGCTTTGAAATGTATATACGTGAATTATTTTTGCAAGGCTTACAAAAATAATATTTTGTTTTAAGGTGCTCACTTGCCTGAATATATACCAAAGAGAAGTACGCTGCAATTCATTCTGACTTGGTGCCTCGAGATACGATCAGTTCCCAAAAAGGTATATACGCAAGTTGTTGTGGTTCTGAGGTCATTCTCTGTGTCGTAGTGCAGTTAAACACCTATAGCAGCATATAATGATGACACAATAATAGTTTTTTTTGTATTTTAACAGCATTAGTAATTGTGTCATTGGACTATAGCCCACCAACTATCTCACCTTGCCTGTGAGAACAAGGATGATATTTCAATGTGTGATTTTAATAACGTAAACACAAACTAGGAAAGCTCAAATAACCTAGTTGAGATTTTCATATTTGTAAAAGTACATTGAATGTATGAGAAATCTATTTGTAGCTCTTCGGGGTGAGATGGCATCAACCACAGAGTGATTAAACTTATCGTTATCCAGACTTGGATGCTCCTTTTTATCCTGGTCTTTCATACATACATTTTGGGGGTAGTGTGTCATGTGGTACCATGGCAAGTGTTGGAATTTGAATCCGATTTAAAAATTTAACCTATGTTACTGCTGACAATTGTCATTTCAGAAACTCCTCTCATTCACTACTAGTTTGTGTAGGGAAGAAAATTTGCCAACCACATCTGGTCTGGCATAAATCTAACTTCAGACCCACAGCAATGTAGTTGACTCTTAACTGCCCTGTGGGCAATTAGGGATGAGCAATAAATGATGGCCTAGCCAGTGACACCCATATCCCATGAACAAAATTTAAAAAAAATATCCAGGATTAAATGAGAGAAACAAGGGAAATGGATACGGAGCCATCAGTTAGTAGCCTAGGTTTTGCTGTCAATCATGTGCGTCAATATTGACCCTAAAAAAGAAGCTGTCTACTGTGGTCTAGAGACCTTTTTGTTGATTTTGTTTTCTGACATAAGTTTGAATCTAGTGTTAAGTCAGTGGGATCTCCAGAGAATGAATTGCATTGAAGAATTCTCAGACAGCAAGCCAGTAAGTTGAAACATCCAAATTTAATTTCTGTATAAATTTGATATTTTAACCCCAATAGAACAATTTTGACAACAAAGTATAAAATTAGTTTTCAAGGCCGGAGGTTGCCTAGCAGTATTTATAGTGGAATATGCTATTGAAGGCCCGAGTTAACCTCGTCTAAACTTTAACATCTATGAGGACTTCAACAGTGCACTTTGTGGAGCAGGAATTGACTGGCAGTGACTTTTGGACACCCTTACTTTATTTCACACATTGAGTTGATGTAAAAACTGTAATCAGTTTCACCAGATGATTATGGTCACTTCTGAAAGTTTGCAGTTTTTTTCATTCACTTGTTTTATTTTATTGTCCATCTTAAGGGGAACTAGGGATAGGCAATAAAAGTGCTGGCCAGCCAGTGATGTCCATGTACCATGAGTGGATTTTAAAAATGATTACAATTGCAAAACATCAAACCAATTCGAGCTACAAATCTTTTTTTGATTTTAAGGTTTTTGCACTTATATCTACAAAGTGCAATGGAGTGTCTTTGAAGCAACAATGCTGGAATGCAGGTAGTAATGTATCACTTAGTGAGCTCAAATTAACATAGCTTTGACCCTAAATGGAGTAAAATAAGTTAATGGTGAAATAAAGAAAAAAACTGACCAAAACATGAGGGGAGAAAATGGGAGGAGTATTCTGGGATGATTGTATGTATGCAAATGCACAAACAAAAATTGAGGAAACCAGAACAAGCACAGAGGACGACCAAGGAAAGAGAACTCATCTCTTGTATGACTCAATATGATAACAAAGCAGTTTTATGACTCCTAACTAGTTAGGGCTGTTTGAGAAAACGTTGCAGTGTTTAAATGATGCATGTGCAGATTGATTCAGAGTACCAGGGTGATGAGAAAAGACTGCACCAAATTATTTGTCAGCATTAAACTGAAAAACATCTTTTTCTATTTCAGCAAACTTATTAGATAAGAGTGAATGGCAAGATAAGAAAAGAAATAGTATGGGGAGGTAAAACTCACTCAAGTTTATTTTGAGGAGAGCCGTAGAGAAGGAAAAGGAATAGAAAAATGGCTCCTAGCTGACTCTAATACTACAACCCCAGTTATGAAACAAAGACAGAGAGGGATTACAGAAAATCAGAGTCTTCATGGAATGGCAGTTATTATTTTTAAGGACAGTTCACTTTGTTTTGCTTTTAATGCATGATGTTGATTTTATTTCAAACTGTATGTATTTTAGGCATGTTTGCGAGCATTGGCTGAATACACCTCTGACTCTTCTGAGAAACGGAGACTACAAGAGCTGAGTAGCAAACAGGGTACTGCAGACTATACCCGGTATATGAGAGACCACAACATTTGCCTGCTTGATATTCTCCGTGCCCTTCCGTCATGTCGTCCACCACTTAGCCTTCTATTAGGTTAGTCACCTTTTATTACTTTTTTTTAATCCCCTCCTATGGAAATTCCAAATAACATGAAGTATAAAATCTTAGCGTGAACTATTCAGTATATCTTTATTTTTCTGTTTGGTAGTTAGCTTTTGGGGCTCTTTCCATAAATTTATAACTGTTTTATATTTTTTTTCCTGTTTCCACCTTGTCATATCCATTTAAGTTGTTGGGTCTTCTCTGACATCTTGTTTAATCGCACAGTCATTACACTGTAGAAAAGATGCCAGTTAGGCTCATTGTGTCAGCACTGTCTCCCTGAATAAGCACCTCTCACTTCTCTGTAATTTTCTTAGATTTGTTCCTGTATATACTTCCTACTAATTACATTCTAATACTAGGGGGTATTGTCAAGTTTAGTGTCTGAATTTTGAATGTTTTTATGAAATCTTGGGCTTAGCATGCTCTTGAAAGAGTTTTACAGCTGCAGCAGTTAACAGTACATCTGCACAAACAAACTAATTGTTTGTCTTTCTTCAAGGTTAAACTGCCAACACTGCTGTGTGAGTCTTTGTATTCTGCTGCAGCTAAGTAATCTCATGGGCTGTGTTCCATTACTGTTATCTTTTCCAATATTGATTACATTTCTGTGCTTGTGCTGGTACTTGTGATGAGTTGATTACTGATACAAAGGAGGCGTATAGTTAGTTATCACAGTTTTGAGTCCTCAGGATGGAAACCAACCTATCTTAAATCTGTGTCTACATTACAGGTTTTAGATTTGATTTCTGTTGTGAATTTGCTGCTGCTGCTTTCTATCTAAGCTTTGGAATGATATATAATCTGATCCCCTGTTGAAGTTGAAAATACTTTGCTCAAATGGTTGCCTTTGGATTTAGGCTGCCCCGTTGGATGCAAGCATTCTGTTAACATTTGAGAATTTTCTAATTTTTTTTTTGTCTCAATCACTGCCTCACATTGACAATCTCTCATGCTTTCATTCATGTACCTATATGTGTACTAGATGTTCTGTATTCTGACTCTTGACAAAACTGAAAGTTTAACTTGCATTTAAATGGTGCTTTATTGTATGTTGCAAGGTACAATGCTGATCTAACTGAGTCTTTCATGTTTTTTTTTGAGTTTTCAAATGTTTCACAAATAAGAAGATGGATACCAAGCCACTAACTGAGAGATTAGGTGTATAACTGAAATATTATGTTGTGACGAACTGAATTATTTTATACTAAGAAGGACGGTAACATTTAACTTTTTTTTTAAATGGCACTGGAACTGGTGACTTTGTACACTTTTTTTCACTGTGCTCATGTACTTGTAATTGTGTACAAGTGACAATAAAATCTAATTCTAATTCTAATCTGCATTCCTCCAGGTTTAGCCTTTTAAATATCACTGATTTTTAATTGTGCCACTTTTTGGCAGCTGTGCCTTTAGCTGCTAGGACTTGAAATTCCAGGTTGACCACCTCTCGTGGAAAAGAATGAAGGAAACTTCACGCTGGGGATTGCTGATGAAACCATGGGGAAGTGGGCGTGGGGAAGGGACTGGTCCTGGACTTGACTTGTACATGAGAGTCTCTCTCTTCAGTGGTGTGACCTACCCCAAACTGATACTGCCAGTTCAGATCCCACAGCCCGAGACATGTGCTAGACAGATCCAAACAGCCCCAAATGTGTACTTGCAGTTACAAAGTCTGCAAAGGGAGAGAAAATCAAGGACATGGTGACTGTCACAATGTGGGGCAAAAAGCCGTATTACCAAGTAGCCTCAGAAAATCTGGCACCATTGGTCATCCTATAGAATTCTCTCCCCTAACCAATCCAGATTTCCTTCCATTTTAACCAAACTTTGGGTCATCTGTTTCAATATCTCCTTGCATGACTCCGTTGAGTGCCTTGAGTTGTTTACTACATTAAAGGTGCTTTATTAAAAATAAATGTGAAGAGTTTAGGCAGTGAGTTTCAAAGAATTGGACTGAAATTGCCAATTCTCCTGTCAGCATCAGTGAGGCAAAGGGAGAAAATGAAAAGCTACAGGCAGACATGAATGTTGTGAAGATATGGATATGAACTGGGGAAGATTTTTGATTGTGAATTGGGGTTAGATGGCAGGGTGATTTTAAAAAATGAGAGCTAGATTTTCAATTTGATGCAGTACATTTATGGGACCTTGTGTATGTCAGTGAGGATGAGGGTGATGGACATATAAACATTCACATGTTAGGAACAGGTGTAAGCAATTCTCCACTATTCAAATAAGATCATGGCCTTATCCACATTCCTGCCTACTTTGCTTCCACCAATTTTGCAGGAAGATATTTCCAAAGATGCTCAAACTTCAGAAAAATTGTACCTCCTCTCTTTTAATCGGGTGATTCAAAAGTTTTAAACAGTGACTCCCACCTCTGGATTCTCCCATAAGAGGAAATATCCTCTCCACATCTTGCTGGACTTCTAAAACTTCTAAATAGTCTCGACAGGGAGGAGAGCAATGGTTTGACTGAAACTGGAATTAAAAGGCATATCTGCTGTCTTTTAATTTAAAAAAAAACTCACATTTACCACCTTCTAGAGGGAAATTCCTCCTCATCTCTATCCTAACTGGCTAACATACTCCAAGATCATGTCGTAGAGACATACAGTACGGAAATAGACCCTTTGGCCCAACTCGTTCATGCCGACCCAGGTTTCTAATCTGAATTAGTCCCATTTGCCTCCGTTTGGCTGATTTATTTATTTATTTATTTTTTTTTTTTATAATCCCATTTTAAACCTTTCCTATCCATTTCCCTGTCCAATTGTATTTTTAAATGCTGTAATTGTACCCACCTCTAACACTTCCTTAGGCAGCTTGTTCTGTATATGCACCAATGCCATCTGGTCCTAGAATTTCTGAAAGGGAAACCAACCGCTTCACATCTACTTTGCCAAGTCACCTAAGAATCTTGTATGCCTCAATAAGGTCACAAGTCATTCTACTAAACTCCAATGCATATAGGCCCAACCTACTTCACCGTTCATCATAAGACACAGTCCCTCCAGTCTCAGGATCAACCTAGTGAAACATCTTTGGACTGCCTGCAGAGAAAAAAAAATACATAACAAGAAGTTAGATTCAAAATTACAAATACTGTTATATCACTTGCATCAGTTTTCCATATTTTACTAAAACAAAAGATAATGTGGATTCTGCATTGAAGCTTGTGCTGATGCAGCTGTAACTTGAAAAGTTGTTTCTAGTAACTACATCAATAATTGGACACTGGGAGCTATTTTTTCTCTTGATGATGGTCTATTTAATTAGTTTTGGTTAGTTCTTGGTTTTGTGCTGAATCTATTTTATCAGTGCTTTGTAATTTTATTTTTGGTCATTTTGCTCCAGCTTATGAAGGAAATATTTTCGTACCTTCAGATTTGCTCATTTAATCAATAAAAGATCAGAATTTGGTCAGTAACAACCAATATTGGTCTACAGTTTTAAAATGTCAGTCAAGTGCTAGGTGACTTTTTTTTTTCAATCTCAGTAACTTCATTTAACTTTCATTTAGTTGCTAATACCACAGAATATCTGCAACATGCAGTTGTCACATATTGGAATAAGACTGTGTAAGAAAAAGGAGCAGAGTTAGGCCATTTGGCCCATCGAGTCTGCTTCACCATTTGATCATGGCTGATATGTTTCTTAACCCCAATCTCTTGGCTTTTCCCTATAACCCTTCAGCCCTTTAAAAAATCAAGAACCTTTCTATCTCTGTCTTAAATACACTGAATTACTTGGCCGCACAGCCTTCTGTGGCAATGAGTTCTGCAGTTTCACCACCCTCTCTCTGATGAGATGAGGAGGAATTTCAGTTCTAAGGTGTTGCCCCTTCGACCTGAGGCTGTGCATTTGCGTCCTAGTTGAAATAACTCCAGAGGCTGGTATCCTGCCACCAAGTTGCCCTTTATTTAGACATGGAGATTACTTGATACTGATCTAGCTCCCTCACAGCCATCTCTGAATGAGCAGAACCTCTGACATTTGTTCTTATCTGTCAGCCAGGGTTCCCTGATTGGACCAGATTAACAGCCTCAATCGGGGAACTCCTATTCTGTGAAGTCCACCTTGCTGACCTCATTACAATCACTATATTCCAAACCAGCCCCCCAACAAGTTTGAGGACCTTGGCCAGTTTTTTTTTTTCAGCATTGAATTGAATTATCTTTTACTGTACTCAAATGAGTACAGTGAAAAGTTTATAATTTGCCACTTACAATGCCATCTTTGGGTCAAAATTGACTAGGTACAATCCTTTAGTTACAGAATAGAGGAAGGAAGACAAAAGTTACATTACAGTCATACTCCGCCAAAGGCTCTCTGCACTAGACCATCGCAGGGGGCCTCTACATGGTCTGACCACTGGTTGCTGCCACACTCCGCACTGGGTTGCTGGCATCCCCGCTCCGGCCGCTGTTTGCCACTGTCCCCACTGGCTTCCGTGCTGACTCGGCTTTGGAGGCCGTGAGTCAGCAGTCGGGGCCGGGTGTCCGAGGCTGAGAGAAGGGAGGAAAAGGAACAAGAAGAACAAGTGGAACAGAGGAGCTCAGGCTGGAGCTGCCTCCTTTATGGAACTGGTAGCTCCACCTGAGGCATTTTAGCCCCGGGTCAGGTTCCTCTGACTCTGACCTTGATACGGACAGCGTGTAATGCACAGTAGCTTCCCTTGTTGCATCCGGAGCATTTTGGAAGAAATTCATTCTCCTCATCAGGCAGCAAAGGCATCACCGCTCGTCTCCGATTCTAAGGCCTGACGGAGTGGGAGAACCCATGAGTTCTGAAATTGTTGGAAAGGTAGTCGAGGAGCCGGGCACACTTTTTCCTCCTGCACTGCCTGCGAGTTTGCAGCTTTCATGTGGTCCACACACTTGTTCAGGACTATTGCATCTACTTGAACTTTCTATGTCATTGGACTTTACCTCATGTTGACCATGTCCTTTACCCATGCAGGGCCATTCCTGTGGTTCTTGCACCAAAGTTAAGGCTTAGCAACATGGCCCTATTCCAAGGCTGACTTTTCTTTTTGAAAAGAATTCATGCAAAGGTGCCAGGGTGAAGGCCAGGTTATGTATGCACTCTCCCTAATAATTCACCAGCCCAAGGAAAGACCTAAGCTCTGTTACAGATGTGGGAGGTGGGGCACCTTTTGATCACCCTTACTTTATCTTCCATTGGGTGTAACCCGGTCTTGTTGATGCTGTAGCCCAAGTAGGTCACTTGGAATACCTGGAACACTTTTTTTTTCCTTCTAAGGCATATGCCCACCTGGGAGAAACGTCTAAGGACTATGTTCGAATTCTCTAAGTGTTCCTTATTGGTCTTCCCTGTCATTAGCATGTCATGTAGATAAATGGCGACCTGGGGTAAACCTTGTAATATGTTCTCCATTTGCTAAAAAATTGCACAGGCTGACGATACCCCAAATGCCAGCCTAGTGTATTGGTACAAACCCTTATGGCTATTGGTTGTAGCATACCTCTGGGAACCCTCTAACCTCAATTGCAAGTATACATAGCTTATGTTCAGCTTTGTGAAGGCCAAGCAAGAGACAAGCATGGGAATTCTGAGAAACCTGGTACTCCATGAAGAAAGCCATCAACAAACATATAGAGCTCGACCCTCATGCACTCCACTGCAAAGGAAAACCGGAAATGAGGTAATCCAGCTCAATGGACTCCAGAGTTCAAGTAACAGGCGGAAAAACACAACAGTGCTTCATCAGAGGCTGCACTGATGATGTTACCCAGCAGGGTAATGGAACGTCTGCGGAAAAACAATGAACCAGCTCAGCGAGCGAACCAACCACAACATCCACAACCCAAGCTACAAATCTACTCTAAAACCTTAGAGTCTCTCAGCATCTCATTAAGGGTTAAACCAAAGTCCTGTGCCTCTGCCAGTCGTTTTAACCTAGTCACAAATCCCAATACAGATTCCCCTGTTTCTGGAAATGCTGTGCAAAAACTGCTAGCTCCTCAGAATTAGAGGAGGCTTGGGGTTGTAATATTCCTTAACTAAATCTGTGAACTCTTGAAAGGTTTTAGTATCTTGTGCCTCAGGGAAAGTTAGGCTCCTAATAAACTGAAAAAACTGGGTCCACAAGCTGTCAGGGGAATTACTTATTGCTTTTCGTCTGCTCCAATGTCATTTGCCCTGAAAAAAAAAAGTATTCCTTTCACACACCTGGGCCAAATCTTCAGTAGGATCGAATGAGTTAAGCTTCACAAATAATGGCATGAAGCTGGAAATGCTTGCCTCAACTCAAAGCTGACTGTTACAAGTGAATTTCTTCAAGAGCATGCTTTACTCTCGTCACCACTGAAATAACTCCATAGAGCATCACCAAGGCACCTTTAATTTACACATGGAGAGTCCTTGACACTGATCCAACTCCCTCAGAGCCAGCTCTGAGTGAACGGAACCTGTGACAGTCCTGTTCTTATCTGTCAGCCAGGTTAATGGCCCCAATCAGGGAATTTATATTCTGAGGTCCACCTGGCTGACCTTTGTTATAATCACTACACTAGTCACTCCACTTTTGTACTTCCACGCTATCCAGGTCTTTCAGTATTGTGTAAATTTTAATAGATTGCTGCATCCCCCAACCAGTCCTTCTAAATTCCAAGTATTGACCCAGAGTTCTCCACTGCTCCTCATATGACAAGCCCTTCCTCCCCAGGATCATTCTGATAAACCTCCTCTGGACCGTTTCCAAGGCCAGCACACCTTCCGTCAAATACGGGGCCCAAAACTGTGCTCAAATATGATCTGACTATAGCCTTATACAGCCTGACCAGTACATCTCTGCTGTTGTATTCTAGCCTTCTTGAAATAAATGTTAGCATTGCATTTGACTTCCTGTCTTGCAACTGAATCTGCATGTTAATGAATGAGATATTCTTGTCCATTTGCTCACTGAATGGTTGATGGATAGGATATTAAAATACCTCCTGATGAATCTTATTAGATTGTTAATCATTAATTCACCAAAAATCTCAAAATTGGTTTTGTGAAATAAGACAAACACTTATTAATGTCTGTTAATCACTGGGGACTTTTAACTTGTTTAATGAACCCTGCTTTAGGAGGGTCTTTCACCTCACTTTCATACCCCCATGCTTTGACCAACCTCTAACTTCGTTATTTTTACTTCCCTGTACATAGTATTGCAACTCTGTGAAATAGTTTGCACACCTTTTTTTTTATTAAAGTTTTCTAATTGCATGCTTTACTTGCATGGGATTCTCCCTTAGTGGTTATCCTATTAATTTACAGGAAAATTATGGGCTATTGAATGCAGAAATGGAAAAGCCCCAGGTACAGTGTATAGTGGTGACATACACCCTGAGTCAACCTTCTAGAGTTGCAAGTCTATTGAAAATACTGAAAAAAAAAAACCAAAATGCTGGAGATCACAGCAGGTCAGGCAGCACCCATGAAGAGAAACCAAGCTAACGTTTCAAGTCTAGGTGACTCTTCATCAGAGCTTAAATGAAATATGGAGGGGACAGCATTTATTAAAAGTGGGGTGGTGAGGTTGGAGTGCTGGGGGAGAAAGGATGCTGATAGTTCAGATTAAGTGATTGGAATGTCAGAATTCTTAAGAGAACAAGCTAAATACACAGCCTGAAATAATTAAAATTAGAGCAACCGAAATCTTGTTGCTCAGGTCCGAACTTAAGTTCTGAGGAAGGGTCACCGGACCTGAAATGTTAACTCTGATTCTTACTTCACAGATGCTGCCAGACCTGCTGAGCTTTTCCAGCAACTTATGCTTTTGTTCCTGATTTACAGCATCCGCAGTTCTTTCGGTTTTTATGTCTTCAGTAGATATGGACACCTGAAAGTGATAGGGATTTTGCTAACTCCAGTAGCTCTGTCAGTTTTGAGTTTGAGTGCTTTTCAACCCAGTTGACTAGAGAGACTATCTTTGATTATTTGTTCGGATTTCCTGCTCAACATCGCTGGAGGCATGTTTGGTTACAAGTTGCCTCAATCGTGTACAATATTGGCCAGTTGGTTCTCTTTTCTCTTGTCTCTTGTCTCTTGTTTCTTGTTTCTTGTTTACTGTGTTGGAAGACAATTGTTTTGTAAATTATACTTTTCTTGGGCATGAAGCAGGTTTTCAGTGCATTTTCATTTTTGCTGAGTTGTTCATCTTGCACAAGCTTAAATATCTCAAACATCTTTCAATTGTTCACCTCCAGATTGGAGAAATTGTACAATTTTTTTTTTTTCCTTTTTTGTCTGCGATTGCAAATCATGCCATCGCCACTTTGAAATGTTCTGGCCACTTTTGCCAATGTGGGAATACAGATGATAGTGAATGCACATCAACAGCTGGTAGATGGGCATTGACGGCACAATATTCGTCAGCAGTGCAGTGATGTGCCTGCTCTGAAATTTGAGTTTTTTGCTTTTTGTTTCAAGGGTTATTTTTGTGAGGTTAGATAATGCATATGTTGTACAAGCTTTCTTATTTTTAAACCTAAACTGGAATACTTCCAATGTGTATCTAACATGGTTTGAACATGTCTTTAAATCTCTATTTTAAAATGTTTTCAGCAGAAAGTACTGTAATCTTCAAAGGTCTCGTACCTGAAAATGATTTTTTTTTTGTTTTTTTTCTCCCCATCATCTTGTCATTGTGATGAAGTATTTGGGACAAAAGCAGTTATTACTTCTGTCAAACAGTTTGGATGTGTTTTGACGCACATCCGGAAATAGGACTTAAATTCAGACATTCTGGCCCAAAGGGACATTACCAGTGTGCCACAAGTCCTGCAGAATGGCTACGTGTTCAGTCTTTACAATTTATAACCGCATGAGCTGTTAAACATTGATCCTTCTTTTATTATGTTTATTCTCTCTGTTTGGACATGTATGTATGTGGGCCTCATGGTCAAAATGCACAATGTAATTCTCAACACTACAATAGGTCTGTTTTAGTTGTACAAGTTGCAGCCTATGTAAAGTGATATTTAATTGCTAAGAATATATGAACTGTTATGCTTTAAACAAAATTCAAATGTAAGGCTGATGCCATGAAATACAATGGGTTACTATTTTAATGTTATCGCTTGTGGTTAAAAACTTTGCTTTGATAAGATAGTTAGTTAGTTAGTTGCTATTCTTCACCCATAATTTAACTTCCTTGAGGAGTCACTGAAAAATTTGCCAAAAACGTCCCTTTGTAGGCAAAATAATATAAAACTATCTATAAGTACCTAATAAGAGATTAAACTTTTAATTTAATTTCTTTCCCAATCCTAGCTTTAATTTCCAAAATCTTTTTCTTTTTCCTCTATTTCAGAACATTTACCAAAACTGCAAGTTAGATCCTATTCAGCAGCCAGGTAATATTTTGTATTGTGTTTGTGGTGATGAATGTTGTTATTAGGCATGATCATTAATAGTCATGAGCTTTAATATCCCCGAGTAAAAATAAAACCAGAATTGACACTTTCTGAAACTGAGTTGAAGAATTAACCATAGAAACCAAAAATCTTGCAATGATTAAACTCCATTCTCTTGCCATGGATTCTAATTGCTATCCTGTCCACAGTGTTAGCTTAACTGTTTGTTTGTAATTACTGCATCCTATTTGACCCAGAACTGAACTTCCAATCTCATATTTTATCATGAAGACCACTTCCTTTAATTTTCATAACATTGCTGACAAGGCCTATCTGCTGCCAAACCACCACCTGTAACTCTGGAATAATTGCAGCATAAGGTAATCATGCATCTGACTTCTGCATCTTGTCAACTGTACAGAATTCCTGTGATCTATACCTTGTTCCTCATGCTGTACCACTTCTATTATTTACTTTGGCTCCTAGTCCCTCCAATATTTTACATTTTAAATTCTCAACAATGTGTTCGGATCTCTTGTCCCTTCCTATCTCTCTTAATCAATTCCACCACCACAATCCTCCAATAACTCTGCATTCCTCCCACCTTGTTCTCTTGTGCAACTCAAAATCCCTTTGCTTGACTACTGATGGCATAACCAACACTAGTGAAGACTTTAAATCTCACTTATTCACTTTCTAAAGCTCGTTGCTGCTCCACTTCCATTTTCTAATTTGAAATTACACCGACTGAGCTGGAATTCCAATTGAGACTGTGGAAGATAAGCTATTGTGTGTATTCTGTGTAACTTATTGTTTGGCTTTGTGAAGTGCTGCTTTACATCCAAAATGTGTGTATTTATTCTAAAGTCAGTGACTTTACTGGCTCTGTCTCATGGTGACCACCATGATTGCAAAGCATTCTATAGCCAGTGGGGATTCTGAGGCTGTTCACTGCTTTGAAAGGCTTTCAAAGTACAGCAGGTTCCCACAAAGCAACATTGAGAGCACATGCTTGGCAGATAATTTTTAAGAGCAAAACCCAAATGGACTTTGTGCAATTCGTGGAGGCACGTATCAAAAACATGTCTCATAAACTGCAGTAACATTCTGGATGGTCTGGAGAAAATTAATGACCAAAATCATGGAGGTGTTGCCTGTGAGGAGCAAAGTCATAGGGAATATTTGAAGGGAACTGAGCCACCTACATGAGCAATTCATATTTAGTTAATCAGTGACTTTGAGTTGGAGGGACAATTGGGCACCTCAGTGAAGGATGATCCTTCACTGGATAAGTTCAGAAAGGAAGTCACAACACTTCAAAACTTTACAGCTATTTTCAGAGGAACAGAGGATATTTTGGGACCGGTTGGTGAGATAGAAATTCAGATGGAACGAAGAAAAGCATGAATAATATAATAGTGTACTTTAGCGCTTCTTAACAGAAAACAATTCAAATTAGTATTTATTTTTCTAACCAACCAATCACTATATTATGCAAGTGTGAGTACCCTAATACAATGACCCTTTCAGTCAATCCTAAGGGGGTCCATTTTAATGAACTAGCAACAATAATGGAGGAGCAAATTACTGAAGAGTCATCTTGTTCTCTCTCTGTGGATGTTGCTTGACCTGCTGTGATTTCCAGCAATAATGGATCATGTCTGTATGACTCCAGTGAATCAGTATTTAAATGGAAAATGAATAAATAGCAACATGAGGCACGATGTTGAGTATTGGGAGATACTAGACATTGTCAAATACTGAGTGAAAAACTGAAAGAACTGCAGATGCTGGAAATCCGCAACAAAAACTGAAATTGCTGGAAGTCTCAGCAGGTCTGGCAGCATTTGTGGAAAGAAAGCAGAGTTAATGTTTCAGATCTGGTAACTCTTCAGAACTGATGGTAGCTAGGAAAATGATGGTTTTTATACAGAAGGTGGGGTGGGCGGGGAAGGCAAGAGAGAGAACCCAAAGAGAGAAAATCAATAAGACAAAGGAGTAGTTAGCTCCTAATGGGGACTATTAGTAGCTGACAATGGGTAGTGTGTGGTAGCAGCTCATGTGATGACAAGGCCTGGTGGGTGGGGTTGGAGGAAAGCATAGGGAAAAAGGTGCTCCAGCCCTAAAATTTTTGAACTCGATATCAAGTCCAGGAGGCTGCAGAGTTCCCAAGTGGAAAATGAGGTACTGTTCTTCCAGCTTGTGCTGACCTTCACTGAAGCACTGCAGTGAGCCTGAGACAGATTTCTTTCGTCTTTTTGGACAGAACGTAGATGTTCTGCAAAGCAGTCACCCAGTCTGCACTTTGTTTCCCCAATGTAGAGGAGACCACATTGTGAGCAGTGAATGCGGTAGACTAGACTGTGGGAAGTGCAGGTAAAGCACTGTTTCACCTGGAAGGTGTGTTCAGGACCTTGGATACTGAGGAGGGAAGAAGTAAATGGACAGGTGTTACACCTTCTGCACTTGCAGGGGAAGGTGCTCTGGGTTGGTGTTGGGTGTGAAGGAGGAGTGGATCAAGGTGTTCTGGAGGGAATGTTCCTTGTGGAAGGCTGGCAAGGAGGGGAGGGGAATATGTGTCTGGTGGTGGCATCCCACTGGAGATGGTGGAAATAGCAGCTAATGTGGATGCTGGTGGGATGGTAGGTGAGGATAAGGGGGCCCCTATTGCTGTTGTGGGAGGGATGAGAAAGGATGAGGGCCAAAGTGCGGGAGATGGATGAGACCCGGCTGAGGGTGCTGTCAGCTACGGTGCTGGGGAATCCTCAGTTGAGGAAGGACATTTCAAAGACTCCGTTATCAAAGTTGGCTTCGTTGGAACAAATGTAACAGATGGGGGAGCTGGGAGAATAGAATAGAGTAGAGTCTTTACAGGAAGCAGGGTGTGAGGATGTATAGTCCAGGTAACTGTGGGAGTCAGTGGTTTGTAGTAGATATTGGCGGCCTGCCTATCCCCAGAAATGGAAACTCCTGTCGAGGAAGAGAAAGGAGTCAGCGATGGACCAGGCGAATGTGAGGAGCAGTGTAGAAATTGAACGCAAAATAGATAAACTTTCCCATTCCAGACAAGAGGGAAGAAGCACTGATGTCATCGATATACCAGAGAGACAGTTGTGGATGGAGTAGGACTGGAACAAGGAATGTTCCACGTGATATACAGGCATAACTAGGGCCCATACAGGTACCCATGGCCACCCCTTTGATGTAAAGAAAGTGAAAGGAGTTAAAAGAAAAGATGTTCAGGGTGAGGATGGTGGATCAGTGGTTAGCATTGCTGCCTTACAGCACCAGGAACCCAGGTTTGATTCCATCCTTGGCGACTGTCTGTATGGAGTTTGCACAATCTCCCCGTGTCTGCGGTTGTTTTTCTCCCACAGTCCAAATATGTGCAGATTAGGTGGATTGGCCATTGTAATTACGGAGTAACAGGGATGGGTGAGATGTTAGGTGGAGGGTCAGTGTGAACGTTGGGCCAAATGGCCTGCTTCTGCACTGCAGGGATTCTATGATCTTTAGGACGAGTTTGGCCAGACGGAGGAGGGTGGTGGTTGATGGGGACAATTGAGGCCCTTTTTCTTCAGGAAGAAGCGGAGAGCCCTGAGACCATCAGGATGGATGTGTGAAGGGATTGCACATCCATGGTGAAGAGGTTTTCCAGCAATTTCTGCTTTTTGTATCGAATACCAATACCGAGTGCTATTTTTAAAATTTCTTTACAGTTCGCCTAAGTATCACCCTGGTAAACTTCATTTTGTTTTCAATATTGTGGAGTTCCCATCCTGCCCTGAGAAGCCTATCAAACGAAGAGGAGTATGTACAGGTTGGCTGGCAGAACAAGTTACGTCAATGCTTCAAAACTATGAGAATGAAACTATAATCAGTGACTGTTTGTCAAATGGATTTGAATTGCCACAGGTATGTACCGTTTGATAAAATCTGGAAGTGAAGCCATGCCTCCAATGCAGCGTATTCGGCCTCAATTTGGCAGATGTGTTCTTGTATGTTTTTATTTAGAGCCTTGAAATAAGTTTGCAGCCTTTATTGCAAAATACAAACTTGTTTTGTTTCAAACTCTAGTGAAGAGCACCACTTCCTGCTATGCTAGGAGTACAGCGCTTACACAGAGCAGCAAAATGACTGGATGCATGTGCCTTTTTTTTTAAATAGCTGACAGACTCAGCCATTGAAAGGGAACAGTGTGCCTGTGTTGTAGATATAGGCATGAGCAGTTACTCATGGAACCAGGTCAATGATTTGGAGGCAGCTGAAACAGAGGGTCGCTATCTTGAAGCTGATGATCAGGTCAGGTGTTTACAAATAGGGAAAGAGATCCATGCAGTAGAGGTGCTGTCAGTAGTCTTTGAACAGCAAGGGCTTGAGAGAAGCAGAGAAACCAGTAAGTCACTTACTATATGTTGGAGAGATGGGAGTAGCTAATGAAGCTACCTACTACAACTTCTTGGAGTTCTGAATGTCATTCGGTAGCCAAGGGCAGAGGTGAAGAAAGCCCATAACTAGTATTTGCCTGATGCAGCTGTGAGACAAGGAGAGAGAGACTGGATTTCTATCAGCTAGCTGTCCACTTAAGAGCCAGAATTGTGCTGGTAATTAGAAGCAAAAATGCTGCTTTGAGTGCCCAGTGGGACGTGGTCTCGGGAGAGGTTGAACCACTGGAAGGTGAGCAATTATTGAGCAGTCCGAATTGAAGTGGCTTTTGAGAGAATTTCAAGGCTAGATTGTCAAATCAAAAAATTGGAACCTGTTGTGAAAGAGGCAAAATTTTAATGAGATTTGGTGACTCACTGTGTAACTAACATCCTGTGGGTTGCTGAGAAATCCACACTATATGTCTTGACTTCATCTACTATTTGACATGCTCTGTAGGGTGTACAACCACAGTTTGTTTGTTAATCCATATTTATCCTATTATTTCTGGATGTATAGGTAGTTCTAAATTGCTTTCCTTTTTCTGACCTGGTATAACAAAGTTTTATTAATCCAGTACTGTGGAATCTTTTGGCTTTATTCTCTCAGCAAGTGCTGGAAATCTCAAATTTTACCTCCCTCAAATAAAAAAGAATACTGCTCCTTGACCAGATTATAACAAAAATGTGGTGGTCTTATCGTGTTTCTCGCACCTTTCTACACTCCTCCCAGGCCTACTTCAGTTTGGAGTGTGGTCTGGTATCAGCAGACCGCAGCTTTAGACTGTTCAGATATATAGAAGTTGGAAACCAAAAGTATTTGGCATAATTTTAATTCCAAAATCCTGATCCTGATAATGGACTAAATAGAGCTACCAGCAATGGGACCCTGGAAGCTGTTTCCCAGGTGGTGGTCCATAAGCTGGCTGCCTCCAGGATCCTTTTGCAGTTAAACAAATGAGCTTGTAGAAGGCCAGTAGGAGACCGACCAGCACTAGAAGAATGGCATCCTGAGCTTTGGCAATTGGAATGTCCGATTATAGGCAGGAGAACCCAAGGTTACTTCAAGATAGAGATGCTCTCTGAGAATGTTAGGAAAAAAAAGTGGTCACAGTTGCTAAAGTGCTATTGCAGAGGGAAATCCTCACCACAGCAGCCTGTGTTTGCAGCTGTGACCATTTTGCAATCATGGTGCAGCCACAAATGGAAGGGTAGAAGATGTGATGGTTGTGATTGTTGGTTGGAGTGCTGGACGACCCAGTCTGAAGCCATGAGGCCGAGTCCATTCATCAACTGGGATTTGGCTTCAGTGGGGTAAATCCAACTGCTGACTGCAATGTTGCAATTGGTATTTACTGTGGTCTTAATAAACCCTTGTTTTTTTTTTATTTTAAGGGCCATAATTGGTTACCCTCCCCATTATTCTGAAATGGCCCAAGGTGGGGACATGCTGGAAATCCAGCATTTAGATTTTAAAGACATCATAGAGCAGGAGGAGAAAGCAGGAATATGGTGTTGAGATGGATGATCAGCCATGACCTTGTTAAATGGCAGAGCAGGCTTAAGTGGCTGAATCCAGCATTTCCTCCATGCCTGCCTATCTTTTCCACCCGCTTCCAAAATCAGTCCCACTGTCTTAGAAAAAAGTTTTTTCTTTTTTGTTTAAAACTCTTCTCTTACATTTTACTTCAAATTCTGAAATTGATTTCCTGGATGTTAAACTACAGAATAAACTTTCTTCTGCAGATATCCATCTTCAGCCGGCACAACCCATTTTTCCATCTACCTGCTGTTATGGCAGCTCCTATTATCATGGTGGGCCCTGGAACTGGGATTGCTCCCTTCATAGGTTTTCTACAGCATCGGTATGTGACCTGTTTTTACTATCAGTACCAACACTGAAAACCATTTTTCTAAAATAAAATGGTATATGTAAGTGTGTCCTGTTTCTCGGCAAATTTTGGAGATTTATTGTTTAGGATGAAGGAAAGACTTTTTTTTAGTTTTTTAGTTACTGCAGACACCTTTCCTCTAAACTGCTCAGTTTTCTGTGGTGTTGTGTGTGCACAACAGTATTTGGATCAAGCAGATTTAGAGGATGCGAGGTTATTGACATTTGACATTAGTAAGGTGGGGAAGGTGAGGAGTAAGAGACACAAGTAGAAGCATATGGAAAGAGATGGTTGAAGGAGTTGGATGGGTTTTGCAGAAGGGCAGAACAGCTGTCTTATTGAAAGAAGGTGAATCACGGCAAAGATACCCCTAGTTAGAGGCAATAAAGCAGTCAGCAGGGAGGAGAGGGTGTGTAACTAATCTTGTGTTTTCCAGTGTCTGTGCATTTGCTATTTGAAGGTATTTTCTATTCTTTGCATCCCTGCTGGGGCAATGAACATTATCAGCAGCTGCAAGAAAGGCAGCATCGTCAGCACTGTTGCCTCACAGTGCCAGTAGCCCGGGATGTGCCGGCCAGGTAGATTAGCAGTGGGAAATGTGAGGTTACAGGGAAACGGGGATTGGGGGCGGGATGCTGGTCTGCGTGTGATGCTCTCCAGAGAGTTGGTGTGGATTCAATGGCCTACATAGCCTCCTTCCGCAGAGGGATTCTATGATTCTAATGCAGTTGATAGGGTTGGGGGACTGGTGCAGGGTGTATAGTTCTTGCTGGGAAAGATGGTATGAGAGAGAAGGAAGGCAAGGAATAAAACATAGTTTATTTTTTAAAAAAGTGACAGTTGTATCAGAAGACCATACTTGCCATTTTTATTAGAAGCATTGCATCTCTCAATCCAAAAGGAAGAGGTTCCATGCATTGTGCCCATGTTGACTTTGTAAAAGAACTACCTGATAATCTCTATTCCATTGCTAATAGTCCTGAAATTTTTTCCTGTATAAGTATTGTCCAATTCCTTCTTGAAAGTTATTATTTAATTTATTTAACACAGCTCTTTCAGGTGGGCATTCCATTATCATGACTCGCTGTGCGTATGGAAAAACGTCTTCCTGTGCTCCTCTCTAGGGAGAACTTGACCAGAATCCTGATGATCTTTTGCAATGTGAGAAGTTTGCCTATTAGGTAGTTAGAATGTAACTCACGTTTTGTTGCAGCTTGCTTTCCTTGTAAAGATCAATAAGAGTCCATGACCAAGGATTCTAGTTGCCATGAAACAGCATGGTAGAATTGCATTTCGAAACGAAGTAATGTAATGAGATAAATACAGGTAGAAGTTTATAAGTATTAATGGCATGCCAGCGGCCTGTTTCTCTTCCCCTGTGGGATTGCCTGTCGTGACATTGTCAGACTAAATTGGATGTTTCCAGTAGCTGCACTGACTTCGAGAGTAAGGATGTTGAAAGAGCAACAGATTTGAAGGGCTCCGATCTTCAATTTTACTTCAAAGTTCATTTTTAAAGTATATTTCATTTAGTAGGTAGGGAATAGAGATTTCCAGTATTATGCAAAAATGAACAGCTGATGGGCCACCCATCTTCAACTTCAGGTATTGAATAAAGTCTGAATATCAATATTACACAATATTGTATTTCTGCACTTATATTTGACTTGTGTATTGAAAAAAAAGTTTTAATATTTATATACAGTCCCAGAGATCCGTTTGAAGAGGTACACATTTTTTTTCTTTCAGTTTAAGGAACAAAGTAAAATCGTAGGGATGACTAGTACGTTTCTGGATGATAAATCTAACCATTCTCCAAATTAGTCTGACAAGCCACTGTTTCTATCAGAGTAAAGACAATATTTTTGTATCCAACTGGTTTATGTGCTCATGCTCTGAGACTTCATTACGGAGAAAACAAATAACTACCGTAATCCCTCTACTCCATGCTTTCTGATCTTGACTATCACAATGGTTGAGTCTCCCTTGGAGTTAGTGATATTGCAATTGAATGCAAGATGGAAAATAATTGTTTCCTCCTTTTGTTGTTCTACATACTTTCCGAAAATCTGCAATTTTTCATTTGATTTACATGAAACTGCTTTTAATCCTTAGAATTTTGTAGCAGTGCAGAATATTTGTTTTGAAATGTGTTATAATCTCTAGGGATGAATAATTATTAAAAAGAAAGCTGAACATTTTGCTAATAGCTGAATGAATGAATGACTCAACAAGATTTCAATTTTTAGGAGACCTTCCATCGTATTTGGCACAATCACTGCATTAAATGGAATAAGTTCAAAATAAATGTAACAGTTTAAAACTTAGGCACTCATGAACTACATGGATCATCAACTGTGTTCAGCCATTTCTGTTGTGTTCTGCCAAATGTCTTCTCCAATGCCATGAACTCGCTCTGCCTGAGTGAGGAGTGTAGAAGATCATGCCAAGAGTGGCACCAGGCATGCCTAAAGTTGCATTGTCAATCTGTTGTTCTTATTTTGATTCCGGTCCAGTATGAGAATGCAAAAACCAAGGCAAAAGCATTTCCAACTACCTGCAGTGCTGGTCTCATTCTGGGTTCCCCAAAGGCAGTCTTTTGGCCAATTCAGTCACTCAACATGAAGTTGTGCAGTTAACAAGTTACAGTAAAGGCTGTGGGGCCCCAGCTGTAGTACTGAAAATTTATTTTCCGGAACTGGTTACGCATCTAGTGAAGCTAATCCAGCACAACTTTAATGCTGGCATTCATCTGACAAAACAGAAAATTGCCCAGATATCTCCTGTTTCAAAAGCAGTACAAATCCAATCTGCCCAGTTATTGCCATATGAATCGACTCCACAGCATCAGTGAACTGATGGAACATGTTGTCAACACTGCTACCAAACAACACTCTCTGGACTGGTGAACAGGTCATCAGTCATTGTTTGGATTCTGTCAGCACTATTCAGTTACAAATCTCATTACTGCTGTGATCTAAACTTGGAACTGGTAACATTTAGGATTCAAGGGCCACAGGTACTGAAGAGAGGCAGTTGACTATGCTTAAGTAATTTTAAATATTTTATAAAGAAGCAGCAGCTTAGTTATGATTGTCTAAGACAGTTAAAGTATACAATGCTTGACAGTGGATGAGGCCAGTTAATTCATATATGAGGGTGAATGACAATTGGCACGATGCGTTGATTTCAGTAACTAACAATGATAGCATCTTGCTCTCTACCAGGAATGTTGGGGAACTCTCCTCTGGGTCTTCCTGCTTCGTTCATTGTCCATGTTTCATCTGAAGATGGCAGCTGCCTAGCTAGCACTAACATATTTTAAGTCTAGGGTTGTGGTAGTTTACACTGTCAGTCATTTTTGTTTGTTTTTCTAACCAGTGAATACAGGACAGGTGCCAGATGTCCAGATGATCACCACCCTCTCTGTCTCTTAGCTCAAGATCAGCTGTTTATTTAGTAATATATTGAGAGTCACTTCCTGGCCCTTTCTAAACACCGCATAATTAAGCAGGTACATAAGGTACTGCCTTATCAACGTAGGAGTGTCACCGTAAAGCCTGAGCCAAGAAACCTTAACATTTCCAGAGAGAAAAAGAAAACTGTTTCTCTGAGATGATCTTATGCTATGCATATTTAATTCTTATTAAGTATTTCTATTTTACTTTAAATAAGTACATAAAGTATTTACTTCAACAAGTAAAGGCAAAATTTCTTACAATGTAAGAACATAAGAAATGGGAGCAGTAATAGATCATTTGGCTCCATTAGCTATTCCACCATTCAGTATGATCACAGATGACCGTCTGTTTCCATTTCACTTGCCTGCCCATCAGAATTTCTTGGCTCCTTATGAAATCAAAAATCTATCAGGCTGAATCTTGACTATGCATGGCAGAAGTTTACCAAGGGTACTTCAACAGCATTTTCCAAACCCTCAAACATTCTCAACAAGCAGGACAGAACATTAGAGTGATGGGAACACTACCTGTAAGCTCATCTCCAAACTGAAGACCGCCCTGACTTGGAAATATATCACTGTTCTTTCAGTGTCACTGGGTCAAATTCCAGCAACACCCTTGCCCCACAGCACTGAGAGTATACCTAAAGCAGATAGACGGAAGCAGTTCAAAAAGATGCCTAACTACCTACGAAAGGACAGTTGGAGATAGGAAAGCAGTGTTGGCTTTTCCATGAACATATTTTTCAAAATGTGATGCAATTAAATCATTAATATATGCCACAAATGGCAAGAGACTATAAACTGAGCGGCTTGAAATACCAGTGGGAACTGTTTCCCAGGTAATACTGAACATGTTGGTTCTCAATGAAACCTGACTCCTGCAATCATTTATTCATCCAGCTGGTCACTGTGGTGGTTAGTCATTGGAAAATATTCACAGCAGAACATAAACTTATTACACCTAAGGGGCAAAAAAGCTATATGCATATTTGTGTATCTTATCGCAAAACAACAAAATCAATTTTCAACCTGTTCCCAACACCATCCTTTTGCACATACTCCCAATTCCAGAGAAATTTCACTGCTATTTCAAACCTTTACATTTTTACTTAACTGACTCCTCCAGATTTTTTTTTCTCATTGGACTGCGGAGACAGTTTTGATTCCTTTCCAAACCCAATGGCCTGAACCTTGCAAGGTTGTGATGGCTTAAATGTTTTTCTGTTCTAATAACCTGACAATATCTGTCCAAGCTGGCCCAGCTTTAGGAGCTCCAGAAATTTAAAATACTTTGAAATCAGGTGATTGGCTTCTCTGAACCCACACCTTGATTCTTCTGCTGGGAGAAACCTTTATCACATCTAAACTGAACTCCTGGTTCTTCTGAACTGGAACTTTGATCCTTTGTTCTGAGTGAAAACTGGACTAATGGATAATTTATATAAGATGTGTGTGAGTTTAGGGTTCTAGAGAGGTAGGGTGCTGGGTGGGTGGCAGATAAGGTGACAGTTGGATAGAGAGTAATATAGCAAGGGGGCTAGGTAGGTGATGCTGTTTAGGGAGGTCCAGGTGAATGGGAGCTGTCAGATCTGGTTGAACTAATGTTGAGTGCGGTGGTCATCGACGGTAATAGTGGAGGTGTGTTGATGGCTTGGGGGGAATTATGTAGTTTGACAAAAGAGAGAGTTAGTTAGTCAGGAGTTAGACTAGGTCTTTAATAGTCTTAAGTTGAGTTATTTCCTCAATATCAGAGGAACCCTCTGAATCCTCTGATTTTTTTAAAGAGATACTTTTGTTGGGTTTCAAGCGTAGGGGAATTACTGAGTGGATTCTCCAATTTCCTGGGCAGTGCTTTTGGGATCTGTTACAATGGGGGTTCTGCAGGGTCCCTGTCCACAACTCCCATCTATGTTGTAGATGTGATCATCCAGATATTGGAAAATCTGTGTCAATCTAGTTTAAATTTTACACACCTTTTTCATCATGGAGTCCCATATGTTTCAAAGAGACCATCTCTCAATCTTTTACGCTTGAGAATATTGGCCCATTTACTTAGCCTTTTGTTTAGGGACAACCCTGATCCCAAGAACCTTTGCTGTACCATCTCCAACAAAAGCACATCCTACCTTTAAATATAGAAACAAAAACTGCTCACAGTACTCCAGATGTGCTCTCAGCAAAGTCTTGTACAATTGCAGCAAAGCTTTTATTTTTTGTATATGTCCAATCCCCTTGCAATAAAGGGCAACAGGTCCGTCCCAAAGAAGAGTCATATTGGTCTTCAAACATTAGATCTATCTATATCTGTCTGCAGATTCTGCCAGTCCTGCTGAGTTTTTTCAACACAGTATTTTGCTTTTATTATACCATAGTTTTTGTTGGGACTTGGCTGATGAAGCCAGGTCTAAATGCTGTTATTTGGTTGTGGTGCATTTTAAAGCTTTCTAGACACAGTCTTAGTTTTTGACCTTCAATTCTGTCAATTTGCTTCAAACTGTTTTAATTTGTTTTATGTGCACTTTTCCACTACCACCACTAGAGTCCCCTCCAGACAATCTAATCGATATGTGTAGTTGTGAATGGCACAAAACTTGTATTTGTATAGGGGCCTGAATGTAGACAAACAGGTGACAATTGGAATGGATGAAGGCGTTCAGATGATCTGGTTTAGGAAGAGTATTGTAGAATAGGTACTAGATGCCTGAAGGCATGATCCCCCAAAGGTGTGATACAAGCATGAAAGGTTGCAGAAGAGGCTGTACTCGGAGAATAAGTTTGAGAGAAGGGGTGGATGTAGCCTTGAAAGATAGATAGGAAATAATTTAAACTGTCTTTTCTGTATATTTCAGACCTCTAGGCACTAGGAAGCCAATGTAGAAGCTGGTGAAAGAAAGGATAAATTGTCAAACAGGATTTTGTTGGAAAGCAGCAGAGTTCTTTTAATGGCCCGTTTTGTACAAGATTGGAACATGAAGAGCACTGAAATAAACTGTCTGAGGTAACAAAAGCATGAATGCAGGTAGAAATAAGTATTCTTTAAAATGGAGGATTATGGGATCAGAAGTTCACCTTGGGGTTAGTTAGGGCATCAAGGGTTTAAGACTGCCTGGGATTGTTGCTGGGCAGCGGTTTGGAGTCAATATTGATGTCTGAGTGTGACTGGTGTTAAAGGCATCACTCTTTCCAGTCTTAGTTGGACAGTATTGAAATATATGCAAGGCTTATGGCTAGAGGAGCTGGATAGCCCAATGTCTCTATTTCTGCAACCATATTTTACAACACTAATAAAATGGAGCTACATTATGGAAGATCACCAAACAATGAATAAAGCTTTGGGAAGTTTGGTGTATTTCCATTACAACGTTATCAATAGTACAGGATGGTTTCCAACATCAAATACAGGTATTTCTGCCATAACACATGTTTTGTTAGCATGAATTGGCTGTAACATGATTGATGAACAGTAGATGCTGTTTGGATAACGCAAACTTTTTGCTGTACAGGTATAGCGATTTATTATTTTTTTCCCCCCTTTCTCCCCCCCCCCCCCCCCCCACCCCAACACTATTTTCTATAACGCAAGGTCATACAAGAATGTAACTATCTGTATGCACAATATAAATCTGGAATTCTAACCTGCCCTGATATCTAAGTGGAATAAGAACACTTACTCTGGAGTGAGTCTGGTTTGCTCCCCTTCACTTTGGTGTCAGATTAGGCCCTAATTCCAGAATTAGGTGGCAGTGCGTCTGAATTATTGGTTTGAATTGAAATTACTTGGCACTCCAGCTGCAGATGTTAGATAAATGCACCCTTTGAGGTATGTTGCCAGGAAGATTTTGAAATGTGGCACAGAGTGAATGACATAAGGGAATTGTTGTGAAATGTGCTGAGCATAGGAAAATCGATAAGCTTTACCAGCATTATGTTTAGTATTTTTTTAAATCTGTCATTAAAATCCCATGTCTAATTTGTTTTCTGTTGCTTTGAAATGTTAAAGTTCCTGGATAATACGTAACATGCTGGTATTTTAAGACGCTGGATTTAGTTCATGCCAAAACATTTAAACTGGGCAGTGGTGTGTACCTTTTCTTTTAATGGTTTTGTTTAAACACTCCTAAAATAAGCCAGTATTTATCCATATGCATCTTTTTTTTTTTGAAAGGAACCTCTGATTTAAAAGAAACATATTTGCACTTTAATGCAGTTGTTTGCTGTTTCCAAGATCCATAGCAATGCAAAAACAGATCATAAACACTGACCAACATGGCAATGTGGTCCTTGATGTCCATGATTAAAATTCTTCACAATTTTATCATCGTTTCCAGGTTTATTTTTGAAAAATGCTTTCTTTTTGGATTACATTTGGATCTTTGAGAACAAAGTTCAGCAACATTTAGACCGTAATCCCTACCACCTTTCTTTTTATTGTGTATCAAAATCTCCCCTCCCCCTACCGCATGCAAAACCAGTCCAGCTCATCCCCGCCTCCCTAACCTGTTCTTCCTCCCGCCTATCCCCTCCTCCCACCTCAAGCCGCACCCCCATCTCCTACTGACTAACCTTATCCCGCCCCCTTGACCTGTCCGTCCTCCCTGGACTGACCTATCCCCTCCCTAACTCCCCACCTACACACTCTCCTTTACTGGCCCCATCGCCGCCTCTTCGACCTGTTTGTTTCCTCTCCACTATCCTCTCCTCTCTATCCATCTTCTATCTGCCTCCCACTCTCTCCCTATTTATTTCAGAACCCCCTTCCCCTCCCCCTTTTCTGATGAAGGGTCTAGGCCCGAAACGTCAGCCTTTCTGCTCCTATGATGCTGCTTGGCCTGCTGTGTTCATCCAGCCCTGCACCTTGTTGTCTCTTATTTGAATACTTATTTTAGAATGAATTGAACTAATATATGACACAATGGATAAATGAGTTTGAAACCAGCTCTACTCTCTGTGACTAATTGACCTAGACTAATAGTCCTACATTAGGGCTTAGCATGTTCAATTAAGCAGCAGAGAAATGATTAAGTTTCTTAGTCTTGATAACTACACAGCTTCTCCATCATCAACATGCAAGTATGCTGCCTCAGGTGGGAAAGCATTAGGTTCAACTGTGATGTTGTTCACCAGTTAGCAGCTGTAAGAAATCAGAAGTACATGAATAATGATCATTCAGATGAGGTTCTGAAAGATGATTATAAAGCATTTCATATGGAGTAAAAGCTGTTTTATTGCTTGCAATATTTTCAAGAATCTAGCATAGGTAACAGATGGTATAGATTTTTGGAAGTATTTTTGTTCTTGCTTTCTTAGTTTGCTGACTTTCTATTTCAGCCAAAAACAAAAAGAAGAAAATCCTGACTTTGCTTCTGGTGAAACGTGGCTATTTTATGGCTGTCGACATCATGATCGAGATTATCTGTTTCGGTAAATATAGCTTTGATTTTTTTTTAAATTTAATCTACGCCACTTCTTAATCCCCTGTAACTGAGGATCTATATTCAGAGAAATCTGGCACATTGTGCTGACTGTAAATCATTTCATCCCAAAATTTACAAGATCTGTAACTTTAATTTGAACACTTTTTAATAACAATTTTCATGTGTACTTGCAAATTATGCTCTTCGCCATCCACATTCTCTCCAATGCCAAACCTTATTTAGTCCTTTTCCAAAATTCAAAGTCTGTGTGGTTTTTATGTTTAAGTATTTTTTAGCATCAAATAGAAACTCAATTTAAAAGATCTCTGATTTTAGAGGCAATTCTAATATCCTTCCAAGATATACTTCAGATCCAAAAATGCAACCCTGGTTTAATTCATAGTGAATGGCATCACTGCTCCTGAGGTGTTGGATCTGGAATGAGCTGTTATTTTCCCTTTATGGAAGGTAAGCCCTTTATGTAATTTGATACTGTCCACAACATGTAGTGCATTCATGTGGACCACAAACTAAATTGTTTGGCATCAGCAGTCCAGAAAAGGGCTGCAAGCCAGCTTGAGTGTTGCTTCTCATTAATTGTAATCAAAAAAAAGCAAATATTCTATTATTGAACAGGGGGTTGGAGTCTTACAGAAAGATGAGTCACAAAGCAAAGTAGACCCTTTTTTAAGAAGAAGCCATGCTGTAGCAAATTACAGGCCTTGCCCGTAAACAGCCTCTGCTGATATGACATTTTCAAACTGGTGCTTAGTGGTTGTCGTAACACCCAGTTGTATCGTTGGATTACCCCTAATTAAATTCACTTCTGGGGACTTTTGAGGCTTAAACACAATTTTGCGTGGGCTACCTGTATGCCATAAGAATACTAACTACGCTGAGTAGGTCAGGCATCTTCATATTTTATGCAATGAGAAATTGATCACTGATCTGCAACGTCGTAGGGGCACTTTGCATTCCCTACCCTTGGATATCTTAACTCTGTCAGTCAGACTTCAGTGAAATATTGTACTTCCACGTATACTTGCAATGATTATTTTGTATTTGCTTCTAGAAAATAAAGAATCTGCTTCCCTAAAACACACAGTTGTAATTCAAGCACTAGATTGTTTAAATAATGGAGTAGAAGCCTTACAATTAATCTTCTCAAAAAAGGAGGATATCGGACTGAAAATGTTGGAAATTTGAAATAAAAATGTCGCAACTAATGTGTAATGTCTCAAAGGTAAACTAGCCCTCCACTGATCAGTAAAGTGATGGAAGGTGTCATTTAACAGTGCTACCAAGCAGCACTTAATCAGCAATGACCTGCTCACTGACACCCAGTTTGGGTTTCACCAGGGTCACTCCGCTCCAGGCCTCATGGTTCAAACATGGACAAAAGAACTTAATTCCATAGGTGAGGTGAGAGTGACAGCCCTTGACATCAAGGCCGCATTGGACTGAATGTGGCATCAAGGAGCCCTAGCAAAACTGGAATCAGTGGATATTGGCAGGGGGGGAACTGCCAACTGGCTGGCATTGTACCTGATACATAGGAAGATAGTTGTGGTTGTTGGAGGTAAGTCATCTCAGATCCAGGACATCACCACAGGAGTTCCTCAGGCTAGTGTCCTTGGCACAACCATCTTCAGCTGCTTCATCAATGACTTTCTCTCCATCACAAGGTCACGCGGGGATGTGCAATCATTGGCGAACAATGTTCAGCACCATTTGTACCTTCTCACATATTCAAGGAGTCCATGTTCAAAGCAACAAAATCTTGACAATATTCAGACTTGGGCTGAAAAGTGACAAGAAACACAAATGCCAGGCTATGACCATCTCCAATAAGAGACAATCTAATCACTATCCCTTGACATTCAATGGTGTTACCATCATTGAATACCCCAATATAAATATCCTTGGGGTTACCATTGACCAGAAACACAACTGTACTTGCCATATAAACACAGTGGCTACAAGAGCAGGTCAGAGGCTAGAAACACTGCAACAAATATCTCACCTCTTGATTCCCCAAAACCTGTCCACCATCTCCAAGGCACAAGTCAGGAGTGTGATGGAATACTCCCCACTTGCCTATATTGGTGCAGCTGCAACAACACTCCAGTTAATTTACACTATCCACGCAAAGCAGCCCACTTGATGGGCATAACATCTATAAGCATCTGTTCCCTCCTCCACCAATACTCCGGATCAACAGTGTGTACCGTCTACAAGATGCACTGCAGAAATTCACTGAGACTCTTAGCACTTTCCAACCCTATGACCACTTCCCTCGAGATGGACAAGGGCAGCAGATACGTGGGAACTCCACCACCCGTAAGTTCCCATCTCAGCCAGTCACCATCCTGACTGGGAAGTATATCGCTGTTCCTTCACTGTTGCTGGGTCAAAATCCTGGAATTCCCTCCCTAAGGAGATTGTGGGTCAACCTACAGCATGTAGATTGCAGCCATTCAAGAAGACAGTTCACCACCACCTTCTCAAGGGCAACTGGAGATGATCAATAAATGCTGGCCAGCCAGTGCCAACGTCCCACAGATAAATTTAAAAAAAAAATAGTGAGCAGGGTGGATCAGGCTAGGTAGAACCTGTGGGAAGAATTTATAGAAATTGACATGTTTAGGCAATGCGTTTTTGTCAGTATTGGAAAACCTGTGCTGCCATTTCAGGTTGTAGAGTAGTAAACCTTCTCTGAAATGTCTCTAAAGCATTTACATCCTTGCTTAAATAAAACGACCAATGACGTGCACAGTACTCTAGATCTGGTCTATGTTGCTGAGGCATGACCTCATTACTTCAGTTCCCCTTGCAAACAAAGTAATAATCAGTTTGCTGTGCTGGCATACTAGCCTTATGTGATTCATGCACTAGGACACCCAAACCTGCCTGCATCTCAGAGCTCTGCAATGTCTCATCATTGAGATAATACACCTTTTTTCAATTCTTTTGGCCAAAATGGGCAATTTCATATTTTCCGCATATACCAATTGCCAGATATCTCATTCACCTAACCTGTATATATCCCTTTGAAGCTTCCTTGTGTTCCCTTCACCACCTACTTTCCCACATGTCTGTGTATCAGCAAGTTTAGTGAAAATGCATTTAACCCTTTCTATCCAAGTAATTTATATAAATAAAGAGATGAGGGCATAGCATTTATCCCTATGGCACACCATCTATTATATCTTGCCAACAAGAAAATGATCTATTTATACCAACTCTGTTTCCTGTTAGCTGACTGATTTCCTATCCAAGCTAATAAGTTACCTCCTACGCTAGATCTTTATTTTCTGCAATAACCTTTTTGATGTGGTAACTTCTTAAATGCCTTCTGAAAATCAAGTACTGTACTTCTACTTTACTGACACTTTACTGTACTTCCTTTACCAACAGCACCTGTTACTTTAATGAACGCCAATAAAATTAGCAGAACAAGGAGAAAGGAAATTTTTAAAAAAAATCTCTAAATATAACAATCAAGGAACAGGGGCAACATTTAAACTAAAATGGAAGAAAGGAAATGGTCAAAATGTGTTCTGTTCCTGTGATTTCCAGAAATGAGTTAAAAGGCTTTCAAGATAATGGCACCTTAACACAACTGAAAGTCTGTTTCTCAAGAGATCTACCCAAGGATACAACAGCAGGAAAACCAAAATATGTTCAGCATCTACTTCATCTCTTCGCTGAAGATGTCGCAAAAATGTTGCTGGATGAAAATGGTTATTTCTATGTATGTGGGTGAGTAGAAATGGGTGGGTTCACTGTTGTGATGCACGTGACTATATAATTGCACCTTTCTGAATTACCCAGAATAAAGCATATAATTCAAGTATAATTGGGTAAATATATATGACTTGTAACATCTGGGCGGTGCTGTATTCCATACAATAAAGGTACCCAAGATTTTTAGGAGCTGGTGAATGAGTATTATGAATACATTCTTTCTGAGGTGGACAGTACTGTCAATGCAGAATATCTGAATTAAATATAATATACTTCTCTGTCTGTAATAACAATAATTTAGAAGAAGAGAAAATAATTGACCAGTATGAAGGAGTTTAGTCAGTCACTTTCACAAGACAATTAAAAACAACTTTAAAGAATTCCTTTTGTTTAAAAGTAATACTGGATTGAATTGTAGTTATAAAATTGATGGAATCTTAGCACTGTACCTAGGGTCTTGTTATGTGCAGTTATGATTTCAACACCTAATAGGAGAGATGTCAAGGCAACCCAGCTGCTCTTGCAAACTACGGTCTCCTCTCCAACCTACCTTTCCAAAGCCCCAGGCAAGGTTGCTCACCAAATCCGTGCCCATGTGTCCAGGAACAGCACATTGAATTTCTCCAGTCAGGTTTCCCCCCCTGCCATGGAAGGCAATGCCCCTTATCAAAGTCACATGTAATGTGACTGTGACAAAGGTAAACTAGTTCTCCAGTGCCTCTGCACTGTCATCTAGCCGAGTAAGGGCTGAACTTGAATAGTTCCATATGATGAAACTTTATTGAACTAATCATAGCCAAGAAATCACTTGCAATGATTTTGTTCCTGTTACCATTCAGTTACCTCTGCCCACCAAAGATCCATCCTGGGGTCCCCATCTCTTTCTCACTTTCATACTGCTGATCAGAAACATCATCTAGCAGCAGTCTTTACATGTACACTGTTGTCACCCAGCTTGACCTCACTGACTCCTTTCTCAATGCATTCACTGTTTCTAAATTATCAGACTATTTCTCTAACATCCTGTACTCCTAGAATCCCTACATTGTGAAAACAGGCCATTTGGCCCATCGAATCCACACTGGCCCTCTGAAGAGCATACGACCCAGACCCAAACCCAAACCCAAACCCCTACGCTATCCCTGTAACCCTGTCTTTCCCATAGCTAATCCACCTAGTCTGCGTATCCCTGGACACTGGGCAATTTAGCATGACCAATCCACTTTACCTGCACGTCTTTGGACTGGGAGGAAACTGGGGCACCCAGAGGAAACCCATGCAGACATGGGGAGAATGTGCAAACTCCACACAGACAGTTGCACCAGGGTGGAATCGAACTTGGCTCCCTGGTGCTGTGAGACAGCAGTACTAACCACTGAGCCACCATGCTCTATACTCTGTTGAGTAGAAACTTCTTCCAGTTAAATATTTGGAACGCAGTAGTCATCCTCCTGGCCCCACATCTCTTACTGGCTTGTGGGCTTCAGTGCTTGGACTGGTGGGACAGTTTGTAGTCCCAGGCCAGCAGTGGGGTGGTTGGGGATACTGACTGGTAGGGTAATTAGCATGGCTGGCAGCTGTCTGAAATGGGGCTTCCTCTTGGGTGAGGGGCTGAAGTCCTGCCTGCAGTCAAAATGTTTTCTCAGGGGTTCCTCTTGAGATTTCCATGAGCTGCTTTTTGTTTGTTTTTTTGGGGTGGCCACCTTTTCATTCTCACTAACTCTGACTTATTAGGTAAAAACATCATATAGTAACAATATTTTCAGTAATTTTTTAATCTGAAGACGTTTCATGCCTTGAAATGTGAACACTGTTTATCTCTCCGAAGATGCTGCTGAGTTTCTCCAGCACTTCATTTTTGAGATTTCCAGCATCTGCAGTATTTTGCTGTTATTTGTGTTGACATATGGGGTAATTTAGACTTGCACAAGAGTAGAATTCGAAAAATTCATTATTATTCTCGATAATGATCAATTCTTCATTAAAGTTAAATCTACAGTGTACAAGGAGAACATTAACATCCTTGACATGACAATATTTAAATGGGCACAAAAGGCATAAGTTGACCCCAAAAGATTTTTCAAAATAGGTGATTTCTACACACACAAATTCATTTCCCTAAACACCTTTCACAGACTGAGGTTAAAGCTAATGCTTTTGCATTTTAGCCAGCTAGTTACACCCATATTTATTACATCCTGGATCTCAATCTTTGATTAACATTTAACAATTGACATAGTTAATTACAGTAGATCCACTACATTTTTTTCCCCCAAGTATAGTAACTCCAGCATTTACGCGGCCCTTTAGAGATTTTTCATTCATTTTCAAGGAGTTCCTTAACCCATAAGTATTGTTGGATCCTAATTAGCTTTGTTGACAAATTCCCAACAATTTTTTCTCAAGTGATGTAAGAAACTCCGCCACTCAAAAAATCCTGCACCATGCCAACCTTTATGCATCGCTTAGATGTAAGCTCCATCCAGGAACATCAAGTCCAATTTTTGTTATATTTTTGTACCATAGATTAATATCTTTATTTTCTGAATATTAAGAGCAGAGTGTTTGGTTGTTTGTGCTGTTGTTAATTCATAATTGGGATTGAGCGTTCTAGATGTTCTCACTCCTCATGGAACGCTCTGAAGCCTAGCAAAGTTAGAGGATGGTATATTTCAGTCCATTGACTTTACTGAAGGACAGAGGCTCTGAAAGTAAGGTGGACCCCATGTACAGCTCTTGTGATATGTTTGATATAAATGCTTTAAGCATGGGAAATAATATTTGTCATGTTTTAATGTTTCTGTTTTGATGGGAAGGGCGATCAAAGATATACAAAATGGAGCTTAAACAAACACTTTACAAAGGGTTGGGCAGAATTCTGCTGAAGTTCACCACCCACAATTAAATAGCTTCCCAAAAACCTATAATTTGAGAGATTGTTGCCAAACCACTGCCAACCATCAATCAGATGGTATTATGAAAGCAAAAGCTTTAAATTTAGGAGATCATATGCAGTAAAGACCATTTGTTTAGTTTAGAGAATGCTGTACAATGTTCAGGCTTTCACTGTAATTTAGGAGGAGCAATCGGATGTCTCATAATGACTGTGTGCAAATGACCTGGTTCCAAGCTGGCTGCATCGAATGTGCAACACCAGTGCTGGACAGGGTTAAATAGCCACAGTGCAAAAGAACTACATTATAAGGGGTTAAGCCCCTTTTGCAGTTAACATTGGTGCCTGCATGTCAATTTACCTGTTCTCTTGCTGGTGTGCAGGTGGGAAGAGAAACTATTCCAGGGGAAGACAATATTGTGATCTTCTCCCACAAGTAGACTCTGTGAACAGGAAAAAGCAAATTTTATTTGTGGAGGTGGCTGTATCCCATGTTCTACACCAATAAAAATACACAATAGGGTTAGTTTGATCAAATAGTGCATACAGGTTGGTTTGATTTGATTTATAATTGTCACATGTACTTGGGTAAAGTGAAATTGCTTTTGTTTTACTTGCAGTACAGGCAGATCATACCATACAAAGGGTAATAGGACAGAGCGAAGAATAGTGTTATGGCTGCAGAGAAGGTGCACAGAGAGCATTTGTACATGGGTGCTGAGCTAATGAGACATGGCTACTTGAAAGTCTAGTTTTACTGCACAGTGTTTGAACAATGATAACATTTGTTAACACAGTATAACATCCCAGGCACTCTACAGAAGTATTATTAGATGTAATTTGACGTCAGAAATATTGGGGACAAATGACCAGTCAGTTTCTCTTTTGGAAGGTAAACTTCTAGAATCATTTATTCAGGCAGGATTGGTCATATGGAAAGAAATAGGTTAATTTGGATTAAAGGAAAAATTGTGTCTAACTACCTTGTTGGGTTTATTTTTGAAGAGGTAATAGTATTGATTGAAGGAAATACGGGTGATTTGGTGCATAATAACTTTTTTTTTTAAAAAGGGTATTTGATTCAGTACCACACAATAGAATTGAAAAGTTTTATACCTCGTTAGAATAATGGAGATGTAGCAACATAGATTCAAAATTGTCTAACAGATAGGGAACAGAGAGTAATGGTTAATGGTGCCTTTCTGGCAGGAGAAAGGTTTGTAATAGAGTTCCCAAGGAGTACAGTATTGGGACACTTGGCTTTTCTGATTATATATAAATGACCTACATCTTGGTGTGCAGGGGACAGTTTCAATTTTGCGGATGACTTTTAAAAAAACACCTGGGAGCATTATAAACTGAGGTGCACAATGTAGGACTTTGAAGGAACTTTGACAGATTGGTAGAAGTGGATAGGTGGCAGATGAAGTTCACTGCAGAGAATCGTGAAGATGATATACTTCAGTACTCAACCATAGACAGTATTAAATAAATTCTCAGAGATGTGCAGGAGCAGAAAGACCTATGTTTATATTTGCATAAATCATTAAAGTGATAGGACAGGTAAAAAGAATGTTAACAAATCATACATTACTCCAGGGTTCTTTAATAGGGGCACAAAGGATAAGAGCAGAAAGGTTAAGCTGAACCTACATAAGATACTAGTCAGATGGAGTATTGAGTATGGCTCTAGGTGCCAATCTGTTGGAAGGATGTGAAAAGAGTATAGAAAAGATTTACAAAAATAGTCCCAGATATGATAAACCTAGTTATAAGGAAAGGTTGGAGAAGTTAGGACTATTTAGCCTTTGAGAGAAGGGAGAAAGGAGGATATCTGATGGAAGTTTCCAAAATCACAAGAAGTCTGGACAGAGTAGATGGGGAGCAACTGTTCTTATGAACAGACTGTCCTCTCTGGTTCTCAACCTTGAAGTGTATTGCAAGTGAAGTAAGTATGAGATGCAGAATAACTTATTATATGGCGAGTAGTTCATCTGGTGGAGGCAAGCTTAATTGAGGCATTCAAGAGGACATAAGATATTTGTTTCTGTTTACATGTTGCGCAAAGTCATGGAGAAAACACAGGAGACTGGTACTAATATAAAATGCCCAAAGCTATTACAGACATGATGGAACAAATGGCCTCCTGTAACATAACCCATACATCACCAAAATTGTTAAGGATCATCTGAAAAGAGGAAGGCAGGAATGGAAAGATTTAAGAAGAGAATTCAAGAGATTAAGGTAGCTTGAAGGCATGGATGCCAACACAGCAGAGACGTTTAATATCAGTGGATACTCAAATGACTAGAATAAATTGACCATCAATATCTCGAGGTCGCAATTTCAGAGGAGACTAAAGAGATAAAGGTAAGACAAGAAATGCATAAGAAATTTACAATAATTGCATTGCTTAACTTGGTACCAATGTCAGCCAGCAAGCTCAAAGATAGAAGCATGATAAAAGATTGAAAGCTCGTTGCAAAGTCACATATCACACTGAGTGTCTTGCTGCTTGCACATTGCCAGGAAAAGGGATTTTGACCCTAACTGCTGATGACCTTCATTTGAACTCGCCTGGAGGTGTTAAGGTATAACATTCGAGTAGTGATTAGACATGATTTTCATGCATCTATCTTTGTGCTTGCTGTCTGACATTGGTACTCAGTTAAGCAATGCAATGATTATAAATTTCTCCGAGTAACATTCAAGCTGCAAAACGGAATGTAATTTGCGACTTTGAAATGAACTTTCAATCATCTGTCATGCAGGTTATATTCACCCGCTGAATGTGTGAATTATCCTTCAAGTTGGAGAGGGGCTTTTATTCAAGTGTTGGCCACTAAAATGCCTCACTGTTTCCTGAAATGAGCATTGGCGGGCAATTTTCCCCTTAATGAGCTTCCAGTTCATGGTTCCCTAGTTCAAACTATCAAAATGTCCTTGCACTAAAAACAAGTGAAACTAGGGTTGACCAGCATTGTGGCTCTTTTGATACTGAAAATATCTGGGGAAAATTGCACAGAAATTACAGTAAAATTCTATTGTCCCACTTTCATTATACTGAACACAATGCAAAGGGAGACTTTCCACTTTGCATTCTATTTAACTTATTGATTAAGCCATTTTTTATTTTTACAATTGTACTTCATGGAAAACTTTAAATGTTTTAATTTCTTGTGGATTTTGACAACTGCTAGAAGTGATGGGTAAGCACTTTACTATTATGTACTTGTTTGGTCGGATTTGCTAAATTTTCTTAATATTCATTTTGTGGAATGTGGGTTTTGCTGGCTGATCAGCATTTATTGCCCGTCCCTGGTTGCCCTTGAGAAGGTGGTGGTGAGCTGCCTTCTTGAACCGCTGCAGTCCACCTGCTGTGGGTTGACCCACAATGCCATTTAAGGAGGGAATTCCAGGATTTTGACCCAGGGACAGTGAAGGAACGGCGATATATTTCCAAGTCAGGATGGTGAGTGCTTTGGAGGGGAACTGAAGGTGGCAGTGTTCTCATATATCTATTGCCCTTGTCCTTCGAGATGGAAGTGGTCATGGGTTTGGAAGGTGCTGTCTGAGGATCTTTGGTGAATTGCTGCAGTGCATCTTGTAGATAGTACACACTTGCTACTGAGCATCGGTGGTGGAGGGAGTGGATGCTTGTAGGTGTAGTGCCAATCAAGTGGGCTGCTTTGTCCTGGATGGTGTCAAGCTTCTTGAGTGTTGTTGGGGCTGCACTCATCCAAACAAGTGGGGAGTTTTCCATCACACTCCTGACTTGTGCCTGGTAGATGGTGGACAGGATTTGAGGAGTCAGGAGGTGAGTTACTTGCCACAGTATTCCAAGCTTCTGACCTGCTCTTGTAGCCACTGCATTTATGTGGTGAGTCCGATTGAGTTTCTGGTCAATGATAACCCCCAGGGTGTTGACAGTGGGGAATTCATTGATGGTAACACCATTGAATATCAAGGGGTGATGGTTAGATTGTGTCTCTTATTTTGCATTTATGTGGCGCGAATGCCACTTGCCACTTGTCTGGATATTGTCCAGATCTTGTTGCATGTGAATATGGACTGCTTCGGTATCTGAGGAGCTGCGAATGGTGCTGAACATTGTGCAATCATCGGTGAACATCCCCACTTCTGACGGAGGAAAGGTCATTGATGAAGCAGCTGAAGATGGTTGGGCCGAGGACACGACCCTGAGGACCTCCTGCAGTGATGTCTTGGAGCTGAGATGACTGACTCCAACAACCACGACCATCTTCCTATGTGTCAGGTATGACTCCAACCACCTGAGAGTTTGCCCCGGTACCCATTGATTCCACTTTTGCTAGGGCTCCTTGACACCACACACGGTCTAGTGCAGCCTTGATGTCAAAGGCTGTCACTCTCCCCTCACCTCTGGAATTCAGCTCTTTTGTCCATGTTTGAGCCAAGGCTGTAATGATGTCAGGAGCTGAGTGGCCCTGACGGAACCCAAACTGGGCGTCACCGAGCAGGTGCTGCTCGATAGCAGTGGTGATGACACCTTCCATCACTTTACTGATGATCGAGAGGAGACTGATGGGGCAGTAATTGGCCGGGGTGGATTTGTCCTGCTTTTTGTGTACAGGACATACTTGGGCAATTTTCCACATTGTTGGATAGATGCCAGTGTTGTAACTGCACTGGAACAGCTTGGCTAGGGGAGCAGCAAGTTCTGGAGCACAAGTCTTCAGTACTATTGCTGGAATGTTGTCAGGGCCCGTAGCCTTTGCATTATCCAGTGTCTCCAACCATTTCTTGATATCACGTGGAATGAATCGAATTTGCTGAAGACTGGAATCTGTGATGCTGGGGACCACTGGAGGAGGCTGAGATGGATCGTCCACTCGGCACTTCTGGCTGAAGATTGCTGCGAATACTTCAGCCTTATCTTTTGCACTGATGCCATGGGCTCTTCCATCATTGAGGATGGGGATATTTGTGGAGCCTCCTCCAGTGAGTTGTTTAATTGTCCCCCACCATTCACGACTGGATGTGGCAGGACTGCAGAGCTTAGATCTGATCCGTTGGTTGTGGGATCACTTAGCTCTGTTCATTACTTGCTGCTTTCACTGTTTGACATGCAAGTCATCCTGTTTGGTGGCTTCATTAGGTTGATATCTCATCTTCAGGTATACCTGGTGCTGTTCCTGGCATGCCCTCCTGCACTCTTCATTGAACCAGGGTTGGTGGTAAGGGTTGAGTGGGGGATATCCTGGGCCATGAGGATATAAACGGATGTATCTCATGGCACAGCGGTAGTGCCCGTACTGCTAGGCCAGAAAGCCAGTGTTAAAGTTCCATCTGCTCCGGAGATGTATGTGAGCAGATTGGTTTAAAATATCTATATGCAGATATATATCGGGTTCAAAGAGTTTGCAGCAATGATGGCCTTTGTGGATGATGTGTACACTATTGAAAGTTGGGAAGCAAAGCAGTAATTCCATCTCTCGGGTGCAGCCAATGTGAATGTTATTTGTAAATTGCTTTCAGGTTTGTAATACTGCTTGCAGTTTGTACCATTGTACCACAGCATAGCGTTATTTTAATTTCAATTTCAAAATGGGTATTGATATTGCTCTTTTTCATGAGATTGTAAAAACTCTTGTCAGCTTTTTTAATATTTTACACTGAATTTGATTGAAATCATTCATTGGTTCTGACTTCAACCTGCTTGCTGTAAAATTCTTAATGGCTCAACTGTACACAGAACATCTTTGTCTTCCAAGTATTGCCTATCTGCAATTTGGATTTTGAGATCTAGAAGAAAAGGGCTTCTATCTGAGAATATTGTAACTGCTCCTTTACTGACTTTGTTTTTGCTGTTAAACAGAGATGGCAAGAATATGGCTAAAGACGTGGCCAGTTCTCTGACTGAGATTGTATCAGAAAAGCTGGGCGTGGATACTTTGGTTGCCATGAAAGTTTTGGCCGACTTGCGTGAAGAGAAACGTTACCTACAGGATGTCTGGACTTAACTGCAATTGGAAGGGAAAATATAAATTGAAAACAACTTTATCCACAGAAATTACTAATCAGTTTTAAATGCTAATTGTTTGAAGAAATGTTAGAAAAATATGCTTCATAGCCAAAGTGCTTGTGGAATTTGTTTTTGAATAGTTGGCACTATCCCTTGTCAAAGATAGTGAACTGATGGTCTTATTTTGAGAAACATTGCTCTGATGTTATTGTGAAACAAATTACAAGAAGTGGTCCCAACATCTCTTCAAAATCAGCTTTTAAAAAGCTCTGACATTAAGTGTCAATGGGAATTTTTGCTATGTGAATTTTGAGCTTTTGGATGAAACCTAATAACCCATCCAGCTAACATTTTATTTGTTTTAACTTTATGTATTATTTTTACCAAAGTATTGTAAATGCATTTATTTATGTAATTTTTAAATTATGCCTTTTAAAATGTCCTCAAGTTTGAGATACACACGTGATTGAAGATTCCATAGACCTCCAGCTAAGTCAAATCTTATTAGAGATAGTAGGAACTGCAGATGCTGGAGAATCCGAGACAACAAGGTGCAGGGCTGGATGAACACAGCAGGCCAAGCAGCATCATAGGAGCAGAGAGGCTGACGTTTCGGGCCTAGACCCTTCATCAGAAAAGGGGGAGGGGAAGGGGGTTTTGAAATAAATAGGGAGAGAGTGGGAGGCGGATAGAAGAGGGATAGAGGAGAGGATAGGTGGAGAGGAAACAAACAGGTTGAAGAGGCGGGGATGGGGCCAGGAAAGGTGAGTGTAGGTAGGGAGTTAGGAAGGGGATAGGTCAGTCCAGGGAGGATGGACAGGTCAAGGGGGCGGGATGAGGTTGGTCGGTAGGAGATGGAAGTGCGGCTTGAGGTGGGAGGAGGGGATAGGTGGGAGGAAGAACAGGTTAGGGAGGCAGGGACGAGCTGGACTGGTTTTGGGATGCGGTAGGGGGAGGGGAGATTTTGAAACTTGTGAAATCCACATTGATACCATTGGGCTGCAGGGTTCCCAAGCGGAATATGAGTTGCTGTTCCTGCAACCTTCGGGTGCCATCGTTGTGGCACTGCAGGAGGCCCAGGATGGACATGTCGTCTGAGGAATGGGAGGGGGAGTTGAAATGGTTCGCGACTGGGAGGTGCAGTTGTTTGTTGCGAACCGAGCGTAGGTGTTCTGCAAAGCGGTCCCCGAGTCTCCGCTTGGTTTCCCCGATGTAGAGGAAGCCACACCGGGTACAGCGGATGCAGTATACCACATTGGCAGATGTGCAGGTGAACATCTGCTTGATGTGGAAAGTCTTCTTGGGGCCTGGGATGGGGGTGAGGGAGGAGGTATGGGGGCAGGTGTAGCACTTCCTGCGGTTACAGGGAAAAGTGCCGGGTGTGGTGGAGCTGGAGGGGAGTGTGGAGCGGACAAGGGAGTCACGGAGAGAGTTGTCCCTCCGGAAAGCAGATAAAGGTGGGGAGGGAAAGATGTCTTTGGTGGTGGGGTCGGATTGCAGATGGCGGAAGTGTCGGAGGATGATGCGTTGGATCCGGAGGTTGGTGGGGTGGTACGTGAGGACGAGGGGGATCCTTTTTTGGTTTTTATTGCGTGGACGGGGTGTGAGGGATGAGGTGCGGGAGATATGGGAGACACGGTTGAGGGCGTTCTCGACCACCGAGGAGGGGAAGTTACGGTCCTTGAAAAACGAGGATAACTGAGATGTACGGGAGTGGAATGCCTCATCCTGGGAGCAGATGCGGCGGAGGCGAAGGAATTGGGAATAGGGGATAGCATTTTTGCAGGAAGGTGGGTGGGAGGAGGAGTATTCTAGGTAGCTGTGGGAGTCGGTGGGCTTGAAATGAATATCGGTTTCTAGGTGGTTGCCCGATATGGAGACAGAGAGGTCCAGGAAGGGGAGAGAGGTGTTAGAGATGGTCCAGGTAAATTTAAGGTTGGGGTGGAAGGTGTTAGTGAAGTGTATGAACTGTTCGAGCTCCTCGTGGGAGCACGAGGCGGCGCCGATACAGTCATCAATGTAACGGAGGAAGAGGTGGGGTTTAGGGCCGGTGTAGGTACGGAAGAGGGATTGTTCCACGTAACCTACAAAGAGGCAGGCGTAGCTTGGGCCCATGCGGGTACCCATGGCTACCCCCTTTGTCTGTAGGAAGTGGGAGGAATTGAAAGAGAAGTTGTTGAGTGTGAGGACGAGTTCGGCTAAGCGGATGAGGGTGTCAGTGGAGGGGGACTGGTCGGGCCTGCGGGACAGGAAGAAGCGGAGGGCCTT